GGATGAGGAGATAAAAAGCTCCTCTCTCTCTCTCTTTCTCTTTCTCTCTTTCTCTCTCTCTTTCCATCCATCTCTCTCCCACTCGTTTCCCAGATTCCCGGTCGAGAAATCCGGGACTCCAGCCATTTCGGAGCCGGGCAACCCTAGCTAAGAACAGAAGTGGGAACCAACTTTTTGTGTAATATTAGTTTTCTCCCATTCTTGACTTTGATGGGTTGCTGCTGACATACGCGAGAGCTTTTCATACGCTTTCTCACATACATAGATACATACATACATACATACATATTTATTTATTTATTTTTTTTTATGTACATAAACACAAATTTTTAAAAAAGTGTTTTTGTCATTGAGTGTTGATATCAACAAATTTTCAATAGGAATTTTCCACATAATATTTTTTAATGGGTGAGTAAGTTTTTTTTTTTATATTTAAAAAGAAAATTTTTTTTCCCTCCAAATTTTAAACGATTCTCATTTTCCCGCGCAAATTTAAAATTTAAATTTTAAATTTAAAAATAATAATAATAATTCCGTTTTCTTTTTTTTTTTTTTTTTTTTTGTTTTTTGATGTTTTCTATCTCTATGACAAAAATCGTTACGATATTTTTTTTAAAAAATTTCTTTTCTCGTTTGTTTGTTTTCATACTCTATGATTTTATATTTAAGAAAAAAATTTTATTAGTCATAGATATTAAAACGTCTATGGTAAATTTTTAAAAATTTGTTTTTCGTGGAAAATTTACACGCGTATGCGTATGTGTGAGTGCGTGCGTGAGGGTACATGGGTGTGTGTGCGCGCGTGTGAAAAGTTAAAATAATAATAATAATGTAAAGAAAAGCGTTTGGGGAAAAATACGCAAATATATATAAATAAAATGTCGGACTTTAGGACGTAGTAGTAGCTAGTAAAAAGATCGATTTTTATGCGCTGAAAATTATTTAAAAAAAAAAAAACAGGGTTAAAGACGACGCAAAAGCGTCGATTGGAAATATAAAACATGGACATGCGTAAAAAAAATTTTTTTTTTTTTTTTTATCCCGAAGGGTAGGGGTGCCGTTTGACGACAGTTCCAGAGCGGCGTCCGTCGATGCGTCGACGTCGGCATACATATATATTCATCATCTACATCGGGGCTTCTAAAGTGGTGGCTCTACTACTAGTCTGTTGTCCAGCAGCGTGCGCGAGAGAGAGAGAGAGAGAGAGAGAGAGTGAGATAGAAACAACAACCATCCATCAATTTTTCTTTTGATTTTTCTCATGGTAAGTTTTCAATCGTTTTTTTTTTTTTAAATTTTTTTTTTTCCTAAAATTATTTTCACCCTTTTTTTGGATTCGGATTAGAAAATAATAATAATAATAATAATAATAAGTGATTTTACGTACTTTTCTTAATAATAATAATAATAATTTTTTCATTAATATTATTAAAATTATTTAATATTTTTTTTTACGTAATAACATTCGCGAATAAATTTTCCGAATTAGGAAAAAAAAAAAATCAATAATAAAATATATACGGAAAATTATTATTATTATTATTATTATTATTTATAACGAATTTTTCGAAAATTTTTTTTCGTTTAAAAAAAAAAAAAAAAAAAGGAAAAACGTCGTCGTTCGTTATACGTACATAAATTTTCGAAAAACTTTTTTTATTTATTATTATTATTATTATTAATCTTATCTGATAAGAACATGATAGTAGTAAAAGGACAATATAGTAAATGACGTCACTTCAGCTGACTAGGCCATCGATCCTGGCACCGTCAACGTAATTGACGACCCGGAATCGTCCAACCCCGACGCTCTTTTCCGCCCCCTCCCCCTCCCCCCACGGTTTTCGGCTTATTCAACATAAGAAATAAGCCGGTTTAAAAAATCTAATTTAGATTTTTTCATTTCATTATCGCGTCACGATATATCCATATTTTTTTTTTATAATAAAAATAAATACGCATCCATTTTGTTTTTGTTTGTTTGTTGTTTGTTTGTTTGTTTGCTTTTAATTTTACGATAATAAACGTACATTTATAACTTTGTAATAATAATAATAATAATAATACGAAAAGATGGAAAATTATTAATTAGATTTTAAAAAAAAACGACTGCATTATTATTATTATTATTATTTTTTTTTTTAATTATTTGTAACGCATCGACGCATACGTAACGCACAAGCACACGCACTCCAATACTTATCTATAAGAGAGCACGTAGTCGAAAAAAATAAAATAAATTTTTTATCACGCTATAAGGAGGTCTTTTTTTTTTTCGTTAAAGGGGTTTGTATAATGTGCAGCATGATTGTTTCATTTTAATAATTTACATAAATGGTGGTGTTTTTTTTTTTCGGTAATGTAACAACAATATTTTCCACCACCACCACCACCCCCCTCCCTCCTTCAACCCCCTTTCGCAAAAGGTTTTACGTTTAGCAAAAAATACGTCGATGAATTTTTTGTTTTTTTAAATAAACATTTGAACGTTCTATATCGTTTTACAACTATTAGGCAAACATAAGCTGTTACGACGTAGATTTTCTCCCTTACCTCCTTTCCCCCGACACCACCACCACCCCCCAACCCTGTGTACTACATACGGCAACAGATATCGTAAGTGATTTTTATTTTCATAATTAATTACACCGTTACTAAAATAAATGGATTAATGAATGAAAAAAGTATAAGTTGCAATAGTTTTGTTGGTAGCAGTAGTACCAACATTAGCAACAATTCGTTACTGTCGTTATAATATAACAAAAAAAAAAATTGCAACCGTAATTTTTATTATAATTTTTATTATTATTATTTCGGTTGGCTTACGTACGTGCGTACGATTCGTACAAGCCGCCCTCGTATAAGTTTAGAGGGTTAAATTTTGCCCTCGGCCATATTCAGCTGCATTTTTCGTCACCGTAATAAAATAATACAAAAAAAAAAAAAAAAAAAAAAAAAAACCGTTGGTTAAACTAAAAAAAATAAATTTAGTAGTAAGTTTTATTCATTTAAATGAGTCTTTTCTAGTTTTGGTTACTAGGCGCGCGTGGCTACCCCACATTTGAATATGAATTAGTTTCGAACGTACACACACACACACACATGCATCTGGTGACCGACCGTGCAGATTGATTTTTTTTTTTTTTTTTCATTATTTCTTTTAATAATAATAATAATAATAATAATATGAAGTGTAAGTTTTTATTCAACCCCCGCTTTCGAATCGTTTTATTGTTTTGGTTGTATAATCGAGAGGGGTTTGCAATCAATAGCTATTAAACAAAAAAACCGTCAGAAAATTTTTTTTTTTTTTTTTGTGCATTTCGTTGAAAATCTGGTTATAAATGTAGCTTAAGTACTCTCTCTTTCTCTCTCACTCCCCTCCCTCCTCCCTCCTCTCCCACTCCTCATTTAAAGTGCTTAAATACAATATCATTCTCAATACAAACACATTGAACTATTTATTATACTAATTGTCCTTCGACGTGAAGCCAAAGGAAAAACGAAAGTTAAGTTTTTCCGAATTGTAAATGCAACGGGACCGAAAAAAATTGCCCCCCATGGCTTTCCTCCCGACAGCGGTGGTAAAATTATTTTTTTTTTTTTTTAAATACCCGAGGAGTACCCGTCGATTGTTAACACCTTGTTTGCATGTAATTTATAACTAGAATTTGCACGCGCGCGTGTACGTGTGTGTGTGTGCGTGTGCGTGTGTCTGAGTGTTTGTTTGTGTCTGCAAAAAAAGAGTGTTCGACTACAACAACAAAAAAGGAAAACCGGTTTTTAGTAAAAATGCAAAAGCCTTGATCCCAAGGGCAATAATGAAGAAGAGGCGTAGTTTAAATATTGATTATGATAAAGGGAAGGGTGGTACGAATGAAATACACGCAGCCCGGCACGGGAAGGCCACGTGGCCGCTCACGTCAGCAACAATTCAACCATGCATGCCTCCCCTTTCATTCTTAACACATGATTCGATTGATTTTAATAAAAAAAAATAAAAAAATTTTTCGCCTGAGAAAAAAAATTTTTCACTTTTGTTTTTATTTTTTTTACTAGTTCATTGTTTACCACTACCACTCGTCGTCATCGTCCTCAACCGTCATCGTCACGTTTAAATTTTAAAATTATGATTTGGTCAGGGATTCGACTCCTCCCTCCCTCCCTCATCTTCCCTCCTTTTCTCCCTCCCCGAATATAAAATAAAATATAAACGAAACGAGGAATCGATACGTTTTTTTTTTTTTTTTTTTTTTTTTTTCGATACGTCATCGGGAAAACGTTTTACGAAAATAGCAAACTTTTTTTTTTTTTTTAATTTCAGGAGCAACAACAAACAACAACAACAACAACAACAGGAACGCGTCATCGTGAAAAACGGTTACGCCCAATCGTTTTTACTTTTTTTTTCAGGTGATTGAGTAAATTTGAGTTTTTGAAAACTCTTTCACAATGATAAACTCCATTTTTTTTTTTTTTTTTTTTTTTAATTCATTGACTAATCACACCCAGTTTTTTAACGTTCGCACACGTTCGTTTTTATCGAAACTCTGACTGACTCATTGTCTCCCGAAAAAACCCTCTCCCCCCCCCCACAAAAAAAAAGAAAAAAAAGAATAGCATTAAGAAGAATATTAAATAATTATATATTATCAAAACTTACATTTTTACGTCATTATTTATTTACTTTTTTCGACTGGTACCTCTTTTCCCTTTCATTTATATTACGTTGATTGGAAAATTCAGACGTTCGTATACCTGAAAAATAATAATTTTCATTAATGTGTGACGTCACGGAAGTATACATACATTGTTAATAATAATTTAATTGTAGCATCAAGAAAAAAAAAACATTTTTGTGGCATCATGTCTTAACAAACGTTTTTCTTAGGTGAACCTTCAAAGATAGAAAGGAAAATCAATGGCGATTGGATTGATTGATTGATTGAAAAATAAAAGGATGTAATACATTTATAAAAAATACGTATATTCGGAAAGACTGCCTGCTCCTCGTGTTCACTGTTGGCCTTGATGTTTTAATGATCATAAGGCACGCGGTGAATGCCAAGAGCTAGCTCTTATACAACAATATCAACATGGATTTATTTCCGGTTTTTTGCCAAATCATCATCGATAGAAATTTTGGTGACGTATCAACTCAAGACGAAGGATCATGACGAAAGCAAATCGTAGCAAAATAGAAAAAAAGAAATGGGGGGGGGGGAGGCGAAAGGGTATGTGAGTCGTTCGTGTACGGTTCGTGTGTAAATAGTGCGTGTTGACAAAAAAAACAAAACAAAAAATGTTTCGTTTTTGCAAAAGGTTATTTACGGTTAATATGAAAGAGAGAGAGAGGCGGGGGAGGAGGAGGAGAAGAAGGGGGAAGGGAAAAAAGGGGGGAACAAATTAAAATTGATTTTAAAATTTAAAAAAAAAAAAAACGAATTTCTTTTATCAAAAGGGAAGAAGAGATACACGCGGTTAACGATGTACGATTTTATAATAGCACCTAACCGATTTCACTTATCAGTCTGGTAAACATCGTAAAAAAAAAAAAGAAAGAAAAAAAAATCACCCTAATTTAAGGGGTGAAAAAACTTTACCAAAGCATCAATGACCTACGATTTTATTTACATCTATTCATCTCTAACATCCCCTCATGCGAAAGTTGTAAATCGAATGCTGCCCATTTTTATCCCCAACCCATTTCATCCCCCCTGAGATTCAATTTTTTTTAAGGGTTGAATTTTTAGAAGAGGACACCACTCACTCGCTCTCATTCGCTTTAATAAATTCTATAAAAATCATAAAGCTAGGGGTAAAAAAAAATAAGAGAAAGAGAGAGAGATAGAATATCAAAGGGATCAAATTAAAATTTTGAAATATTATCATCGACGTCCAGTTTTAAATAAAATAATATCGATTAAAAAATTTTCCGATTTTCCACAAGGTTTACCCTTTTTTTTTTTTCCATTTAACCGGAAACGGAAACGACGTTTGTCTCGTGTGCGAAAAAAAAAAAAAAAAAACAAAAAAATTTCAAAAAAATAAAAAATCAATGCGTCGAAAGGAGTAGTAATTAAATATAAAAATTAATTGCGCGGAGGGTGGGAGCAGGGGAGCGGGGGAGCGGAGGAGAAAAAGAATCCCGGCAAAGGTAAATTGTTACTCGGAGGTGAACAAAATTAAATAAAAAAGGAAAATAAAAAAGGAAAAAAAAAGTACAAAGGAAACCTTCTCGGGTTTCAATTAATTAATTAAGAGTTATTAAGATATACAAAAAAAAAATAATAATAATAATAATAATTTGTACATATATACATATACGCGTACGAGTTCGCGTTCGTATTCCATCCCTCTCTCTCTCTCTCTCTTTTTCCTTTTTGATAAACATAAAAGAAATTGCAAATGTGGGAAGAAAAAAAAAAAAAAAGGGGGAAGAAGGGTAAACAACAAGGACTCAAATGTTTCATATTGATCCGTAGTCATGGTAACCCGCCTCCGCTCGGATGCTGCTGCAGAGCTCTTCTCACTCTAGAGGAAATAAAAAAAAAAGAGAGAGAGAGAAAGAGAGAGATATAGAAAAACACGTAAGAAGAAAAAAGAAAGAAAAAATTATACAGTTTCGTAGAGGGAAAAATAAAATAAAAACAGCGAAAGAAGAGCACAAGGAAAATCGGGCATTTAAAAAAAATTAAAAGCAGAAACCTTTTTCTCTCTCTCTCTCCTTCTCTTTCCCTCTCCTTCTCTCTCTCTTTCTCTCTCTCTCAATTTCCGTTTTTCTTTTTAAACTCTACACAAACTCAACGCTTTCGTAATGTTTTTAATTCACGAATTTTTTTTTCAAAACCCACGTTTCCGGTTTTATTTCCCCATCGAATCACCTTTTCACCTGTTTCCACGTTTGTGTCTGTGTGTGTACGAGACACACCATTATTGACTCGTCTTTTATTTTACCCTGTTAAGGGTTGAAAAGAGATGAAAGAAGATATCGTTGGGGTCAAAATAATTTTTATTCAACTATCGACACAAAACGAATATAAGAAAATACGACACACGACATTTTTTTACACGTTCGTGTATACATGTAAGCCTGCTACCACGTTCGCTCACCTACTTCCCCCTCCCCTCCCCTCCCGACACCTTTCACCTTTCTTTCTTCCCTCCATTTTTTTCAAAAAATTTTATTTTAGTATCGAACAATCGATATGTCTACCTATTTAAAAACGTAACCGTGTGACGAAATTAAAAAAAAAAATGGCGGGATGTAGGAGTGCTACGTAAGTTAATAAAACAATAATAATGATAATAATAATTTCTTTTTGTTGAGATAATTAAATTTTTTATTATAATGAAACGTTGCCATGATAATGATATTAAAGGTGATAATAATAATAATAAAAAAAGGAGGTTTTAAATTAAAAAAAAGGTAACGTTACGTTTTTTTTTTTTTTTTTTAATTATAATTAAATTTAAAAAAAGAAAAAAGAAAAAAAATTTTAATTTTCCGACATTTTCTTTTCGAAATATTTTTTTCCTAAAAATAAAATATTCAATTTAATTTTTTTTTTAATTATTTTCCTTCTTTGACATGAAAAAAAAAAAAAAAAAAAAATGAAATCCAGAAAAAATATTAAAAAAAAAAAAAAAAAAAGATGTCGTAATAATTAATTAAATTAATTTTTAAAAAAAATTTCTTTTTCCGATTGGATTGAGGTGGAGTGAGGGGGGTGGGAATAAATCTCGACGATTTCCCACCATTTTTTCCATTTCGTCACATGACCCGAAAAAAAATTTACAAAGAAAAAATGTTGGCATTTTAAAAGAGCCAAGGTGAAAACGTCTCGCGAGAATACAACTACTTTCAGGTAAAAAAAAAAAAAAAAAAAAAAAAAAAAGGTAAGAAAGATGATTCGTATACATTTTTTAAACAGTAACAGGTCAAGTTCTTTTTCACCTGTAACAAAATCAAACAAACAAACAAACGAACAAACAAACAAACAAACAACAAATTCTTCTCTGATAAAAACGTAAACGAATCATCATGCTGGGGAAAAAAAAAAAAAAAATTTTTTTCTTAATTTAAATTTCTCGCCAATTAAAAAAAAAAAAAAAAAAAAAAAAAAAATTTGACGCGCGTGTACGACAACAACATGATTTAAATAAAAAATTATCATTATCATTATTATTATTATTATTATTTTTTAGTCAAGGTTTTCCTACCCTAATTCAATTCAACAGCAAGCGGCACCCTGTCTGCTCTGACAGCAGCTCGTTTCTAAGCAACAACATGGAAGGGGATGATGATGATATCGATCTCATCTTTGAGCTTCATCGTTCCCGGTTTTTTTCAGATCGAAAAAGTTCATTTATGTTTCTCTCTCTCTCTCTCTATTTTTTTTTTTTGTTTTACGTTTTACGTTTTCCAACCCCCCGCCCTTACCCCCCTCGAAAAAAAAAAAATTTAACTTTGACGGGAGAGAACGAAACGAGAACAGAAAAAAAAAAAAAAACTCCCTAATGAAAAATTAAAAAAAAAAAAAAAAAAAAAAAAACGTTTTTTTCTATACTATTACTATTACTATTATTATTATTATTATTATTATTGTTTACCGCTTACGCCACTACAGGAGCAACAACAGCAAGAAAATCGTTTCGATAAATTCAACAGAAAATTTTCCACAAAAAAAAAAAATTATAAATCAATGCGAGTCTATGAGAGACATTACTGAAAACTCATTAAACAAAAAAAAACCTTATCATCATCATCATCATCATCATCATTATTATTATTATTATTATTATTATTTAAATCCCTTTTTTTGTTGTTCAAACTTTGACGTTTGTCAATAGAAAAAAAAAGAAAAATTTTAACATTAATTAAAAATTATTAATCGACCAATTATAAGTTTCCCGAATATATAACATATTAAAAATTTAAACATTGAATAACAAAAAAAAAAAAAGTTCCAGAATTCAGCAGGGATTGTCGGGAGTGGCTGACGACCCGAGACCTAGAGCAAAAAGGAGAAGGAGACTTTGGGAGAAAGAGAGAGAGAGAGAGAGAAAACCAGGATCAAAGCAAAAAGGGGGATACAGTTTCCTCGGCAACGGGCTGCAGGTGACCTGGGAAGAGTAAAAGTAGTAGGAGCAGCAGCAGCAGCAGCAACAGCAGCAGAAGCTTACAAATAATTCGAATTCCAAATCAACTTTTCAAACATTTTTAAAAAAAAAAAAAAAAAAAAAAAAAAAAAAAAAAGGAAATCATTCTTAAATTCGTCATTTTTTTTTTTTTTTAAATTTAAAGAATGATTGATTGATTGATTGATTGATTGATTACTATTATTGTTAAAAAAGTATAAAAAAAATTTTAACCTTTTGCTTTGTTTCTCTCAAAATTTGTAAACGTTTTTGTACTTTACGGTCACTAAAATTCTATCCTTTCCCCCCCCCCTCTCCCCCTTCCCCCATTCTTCATTTTTTAAACGGAGGATAATGAATTAATTTTTCAAAAAAAGAGAGAAAAACAAAAAAAAAAAAAGCAAAAAGGTCAAACGGGGGGGGGGGCGTCAATTAGTTTTTTTTAAATTACCTTTTTATTGCGTTCCGTCCGCGACTCTTGGAAAAAAAAATTTTTATATCGACACCTGACACAAAAGTGCAACACCGCGCATTATCCAATGTTCTGGTTTTTTCGACGTCGGTATCCACATCGATATGACGAAATTAGTCGAATGACCCGTCGTTGATAGTACCCCTCGTCTTTCTGCCGTTTTATAAACGGGACAAATGTAAATAAGTCTTTCTTTTACGTCCGTTTTACGAATGGGTACCAACCACATCTATTAAAAAAAATACATTTTTTTTATTTTCTTAAATGATTGATGATGATACTGAGGAGGAGGGGGAGGAAAAGGACAACAAAAACTCACGGTTGGCATTTCGTCGTATAAAACTTTCGGAAATGCTTCTTCTAATATGTGTGCATCATAATCCCATCGCGCACCATCGATGTAAAGGCCGTAAATGTAAACGCCGTCTTCGGGCGGCTGGGTAATATTTTTCACTCTCATCACCTGGAAAATCCAACAAAGAAATCATTTCCGAACTTTGATGAAATATTATCGATATTTTGGGAGAAAATTTTTTTAATAACTACTCACTTGGAAATCAAAAACCAATAAATCGATTGGGATTTTATATTTTCGTGCGTAGTTTTGTTGAGCGCCCGTGAGAAAAGCCTGTGTGAAAAAAAAACCGGAAAGCCAAAACGTAGGGGGAGCACCGTTTTCGAACCACGATTCTAAAAATTCTAATCTTTTTAAAAAGTCTTGTATGTAACTGCCCAGTGGTTTCAATGACGGATATGATTTTTTCCTCCACAAACCCGGAATCCGACCCGTGAGAATGCTGTGAAAAACTTCTTCCAATTCGAACGACATGACGATAAATCCTGGAAAAAAAAAATAAAAACAAAAAATTCGAATCTTTTTCCCGGAAAAATATTCTTCGATTAAAATAAAATTTTCTTTAAAAAAAAGAAAACCTTTAACGGCTTTTTGAACGTTTTGCAAACTTTCTCTTATACGGGAGAGCAATGCGTTAAACCTTCCCATTTCCTGTATCAAAACCGTGTTCATGGATTGTTCGTACAGTGTGGGATATTTCGCTTGAGCTTTGTCTATGTTGAAATCCCCCGGGAGTTTATCCAGGATATCTTTGGCGATGTTGAATACTAACGTGTCCGAAGACGCACTTCCTTGTCCGCTTGTTAACGTATCCTACAAATAAAACGTAAAAAATATCATATTATCACGTCATTAACAATACTTTCGCCATTTTATTTCTTTTGTGTTAACTTACGCGTTTTTTTATTAAATCCTTATTATTATTATTATTATTTGTTATGCGTGTAAAATTTTAAAACGTATTAAAGTATTATTATTATTATTATTATTATTATTAGGGGGGGAGAGGGTAAAAAAAAAAAAAAAAAAAAAAAATTTGAATTTTTACTTACGATTCGATCCTGATGCATGAGAACAACAAAAATTTTTCGTTTCGTATTAAATAAAAAAAAAAAAAAAAAAAAATTAAAGGTTTGGAAAATTCTTACTTACTTGAGTCAATAAAACGGATGATAAAAGTAAATTAGTTTCTTGATGATCTTTTATCATGTCTGCATTTTCATTCATGCCAAATACTTCTGGATGCGTTATCAATGGTAAACCGCGAGTATATTCAAGATAAGCTTCGTATTCTTTTTCATTTGGAGTGTAATACGTTCCTGTGTAATCATAAAAAAAAAAAAAATGTTTTATTACAATTTTTTTTTTTTTTTAAAATACATTTCAATAGGAATTGAATATACCCGTGGGATCGAAAAAATAATGAGGTTCTTCCAAAAGTTCCCGACAATAAAATTTTTTAAGTATCGTATTTAAACATCTTCTATCCCAATCATCCGTAACTCTTCCACCGTAATTACATTCCCCGGTTAAATATCGAAGAGCATCGAATTGAACATTCTAATTAATAATTAATTTAATAAATTAATTAATCGTTAGAATATTTTTTAAAATAAAAATTATGGGAAAACAACAACAACAACAACGTGCCTCGTATTTATCTAAAAACATGTGCAATTGAAGAATGCTTATTCTCAAATCCGTTTCGTTAAATTCGTATTGATTGTTCCATCCCAAAGGTCCAAATTTTCTTCTTTCTTGTACTATTGCGTGAAAAAAACATAACGCGTAAAGGAGTCTTTTAAAATTTTGACTCTGTTTACAACTTTCGAACCATTCCATATCACTTATCGGATCGCTTAAATAAGATCTGGAACGAAAAAGACGAAAAAGATGAAAAAATCATTTTAAATAAATGAGATTACATATCGTTTATTTTTACGAAACGAAAAAAAAGAAAAATACCGACCGCATTATATTATTTCTAAGACCTTTGGGAGGTTCGTTAGTCATTTTAACGCCATTTTGTAAAACGACAACGGGAAAATGTTCTGCCGGATACGACGTGAGCCACAATCGAAAATCTGGATGCGTGCTATCGGGAAGTAATCCTTCGCAAACTTTTTCCAACGTCGGCATAAACGATTTAGCCAAGTGACAATTTTGAAGTACGACCCAATTCCCCATTTTGACTCCTTCATCAATCATTTTCATTGCTATCGGCCCTTGACCCTGTCCCAAAGACAATGAAAATAATCTGCTCGCGCCAAATCCTTGATCGTCGGCAAATTTAAGTAAAACTCCCGTGGGATCCGAACCGGGAGTCAATATAAATATCAATGGAATGCAACAATGAGAATCGTTGAAAGACGATAGTAAATCAAAAGGCGGAGGTTCGATGAATTTTTTACCCATTCCATCTGTTCGAAAAATAATTATTATTATTATTATTTACGTCAGAATAAAAAAAAAAAAAAAAGAGCAATGATAATGATAATAATTTACCCATTACGAATAACTGAATGGCCGTTACGACTTTGTCCGGTCTCAAACAACGTAAAACGTTGAGCTTTTGAAAACTACTCAAAGCTTCATTCCATTGATCGGGAAGAGGAAAATTGTGTGGTTCTACAGAATCGAAATATTCCTTCCATTTTTGAACATATTTCGTAAAGTGTTCTCTCAAACCCTAAAATTTTTCGATAAATAACCTTTTTTTGAAAAAAATAACGGGGGGGGGGGGAAATCAAGTAATCCATTGCTAACTTTATAAGTCGGAAGCTCGTCTAAACGACACAATTCGTCCCAATTATTATTTGGTAACCAGGCATTTGCAGGATTCGGATATGGATTGCTCAAACCGACTCCCGCCGTGAGTAAAAACATCCATTCTCCCGTGTCTATTAAATTATCTTCTTTTAATAAATTTATGTACAAAAGAAGAGAAAACAATAGTTTATCCTGAAATAAATTGGATGTTATCGAGTGATTAAAACTAGAAATTCAAATGAAATAATAATAATAATAATAATAATAATAATTAAAAATCAAAATTTTTTACTTTTTCAAATAAGCTTCTGCAAATATTCACATATAACGAATAAGTAAAATAATTTTTAAGATCTTCCAATCTGGCCTCCACATCTTCTAATTTTTCCGTATTATCGATCGCCATTTTAAATAAATTCACAAACCAAACCAATGAATATTGATACATGGGATCGATGTTTGCCAATACAGCTAATGTGATGGAAAATCGTAATCAATTGTAAAATAAAATTTAAAAAAAAAACACAATTTAAAAATTTTTTAACCGCAACAACGATTTTACTTGTTGTGAAGAAAAGAATGCTCGAGTAAACAGCGATTGACGTGTATTCCAAACGAGCTGCATCAATGGATTTTTCCGTTATTTCCGCTGCCCCTTGTTTTTCTTGTATTTCATTAGCCAAAACTTTTGACGAGCTTAAAACTTGTACGGCAGTTTCATCTTCTAAAATATTATCCTCGGACGACGATAATATTTCAAGGATTTTATCTTCAATGTTTTTCAATTGCCTAGAAAAATCATATTTATAATATATAAAGAGAAAAGAAAGAAAGAAAAAAAGGGAAAAAAAAAATGAACGAACTTTTTATTTTCCGCTCCTTGAATAATTAATTGATTTTTTTCTGCTTCGAGATCGGGTCTTTCCTTAGCTACAACGATTCCCAACAACTGATCCTGCAAACCCACGGCCGTGATCATGAAATTAATCAATGTGACTTTAACGGCAATTTCCGGTAAATAATGCGGATTCCTTAATTTCGTCGTTATGTAAAATCTAAATTCCGGATTGAATTCGACGACCGAATCTCCTAATTTTAAATACATGACACCTCCCTGTTTAAATATTTGCTTTTGTAAAACGGGTTCTAAAACTGCGTCAATTTCTTCTCCGATATTTTCCAACAAAACCTTTAAAAAAAAAAATTATCATTTCCTTTATTTTCCTTTTTTTTCCTTTGTTCCTTTTTTTACCGGTTGTCCAAACTGTATGGCATTTTCTAAAATCCTGACGTAATCCGTATTGGTGAGTCTTATGATTCCTAAACTGTTTGCTTTTTCCATATTTTTCACCCATTTATTTGCCTGACCTTGCGGATCAATCATTAATGGCCATCTTCTGGCATTTCTAAAATTACAAAGCATTATTAAAAAGTAATTTAAAATACTTTAGGGGGGAGGGGGGGGCAAAATAAAAAATGAATTTATCATCACTTTATTATGATTGCATTGTCTACTGAAAAAAGATCGCTCGGCAATCCGAAAATATTCCATTGACGAATTAAAACGGGTTCTCCGAGAATGGCAGTCAACTGATAATCTTTAGAACATTCTAATCCAAATTCCAGGCAAGCTTTGACCCAATCGGCAAGTTGTTCCGAACGAAATTGCATTGTAAATGGTCCGAGATAAGCTACAACTCCAGCAGCGACGAGAATGTTACCTAAAAATTGGGAAAAACAAATTTTAAAAAATATGGATTCCTTTTAAAAAAAGTAAAAAATAATTTGATCATTTACCCGTTAATTTGTGATACGTGATTCCCAAATCTTTGGCAGTTTGTTGCCAACGTGATTTTTCTCCACCTAAACCATTGATTAATTCTTCGGCTCTTTGAAGTTTTTTCGCGCATAAATCTGCCGTACCTTGCAATTCGTTAAAGTGAGCCTGATTTTTACGAAGTTTCGCTTCTAAATTGCTCAATTCTTCTTGGATTTCCCGTAGCTGAGTTCTTTTTGCTTCTAATTTTGACATGGCTGCCCCGTATTCGGCTTCTGCTTTCGCCAAAGCTTGCTTTTTCGGAGCCACGATTTTGGCTACTTTGTCATATTTTGCAATGGCAATTACCCACTTGCACAAACCTTCGACTGCGGTTGAAGCGGTTTTGACTTTTTCCGGATCGAAATTTTCATCCGTTAAAATTCTTTTTTCCAGTACTTGAATAATTTTAGGATCGATATTATCTTTATCGTAGTTGATTAAATTGTCCAAAAATTTTATATCGGCTAAAACTCTTTTCGAAGAAGACCAATAATCTTCAATCATTTTTCCCGTTCCTGATGGATCCGGGACTTTATCGGGTTTTACGCCTTTTAAAACACAAACGGCTTCCATAACGATTCTAACGCCCTTGGGTGGAGTTTTCATTGATTTGACTACCGTAATGTCGGCAGGAGTCAAAGTATTTAAAGCCTCCAAAGCAGAATTTAAAATAGGTAGAGCTTCTGCTAAATCGGCGTCGCATTCGCTCTTAATGGCCTGAGCTGCCGATGCTTGACTCATGGCTACCTCTTCATCTGCTTTAACCAAAAGTTCCGTTTCCGCAGCATATTTCGTATCGTTTTCAACCTGTTGTAAAATTTTCTGCACGCCTGATGCAGCCTCAACCAATTTAGGTTGCAATGCTTGTAAATCATTTTGCATAACTGAAATTTGACCGGCTGCGAAGTCTAATTTTTCTAAACCAACTTCATATCTTTTTTTAGCTTTTAAAATTTCTTCTCTTTTTTTTTGCAAAAGTTCTTTGAATGTATTTATCAGCTCCAAATACGAAGTAGGCGTCACGTATGTTTGTCTCCTAAGCCTTAAATAATAATCTTTGGAAAGCTTTTCAGTTGAACTGTGAAATAATTGACACATTTCAATAGCCACGTGCCTTTCTTTGGTAGTTAAATCTATTTCACCGAGAAACCGCGTTGCTACGGCTAATAAAGCATCTTGCGGCCACGGTTGAAACCAATCAATGGTACAACAATTTACCAGTGCTGGAAATTTACGTATTCTATTTCTAAAACCGTCGCCTATGGGGCTAAAAGCTAAAACAATATGAAGTTGCTCTCGAACGATTTGAACGAATAAATTGTACAACGCTACTGGGCTCCCATCCGTTTGCATTGATTTATCCCTTGCACGATCGATTCGTCTCATTTTTTCACATAAATCAGCCTTTTCATCGCTGGGAAATATGTTGGGAACTTCTCCAGAATTTAACAAATTATTTATATCTTCCACCATGGATTCTTCTTTTATTTGTGAATCGCAAAATAAGAAAGTGACGTGCAATTCGGATGAGCAAGCTCTGCGAAGAATATTTTTAATATCCTCGTACCACTCGTAACGTCCGTATTGTCTACTTAATTCGATTTGAAACAAATCGTATTCAGATATGTGGGAAGCAAGTCTGCATAATGATTGTCTTCCGGATCCACCCACGCCCACCAACAAAGCATGAGATCTAGGTTGCTTTAATATTCGACATATTCTTGATAAATGTTCTATGGCAAATCTAAACAACACCAAGTTCATCGGTTTTTTTGTCATGTTGTTAAATTCGGCCAGAAAACCTTCGACGACACTGCGCAAATGATCTAAATTGGTGACTTCGGTATAATGTCGCGTATCGGCTTTTAAATTTGCAAAGTCACAATATATCAACTTTCTAAAATGACTATCCGTTATCTGCAAAAAAAAAAAAAAAAAATTATTTAAAGTAAACATAATGAATAATGCAAAAATGCAAACTATTAAAGAAAATAAAAAAATTACTTCCGGTTTTCCAGGTTCTAATAAATGAGCAAACATTTTATTTAAATCTTCCAATAGATCTTCTTTACAAATGTAATGAAGAGTTTTAACCAGCCAAGCCCTATCTTTGTCATCAACGAGTCGATCACCGTAAACCCGAAGTACTTCGTGAACCCAAAGTCTTTTGATAGCCATCAAATCTTCCATAGCTTCCGGTACCGAGAGTAAAACGCCTTGTATCACGCGGGAAAAATCACGAAGGTTAAATAAATAGTGGGATTTTGCAGGAGTCGGCAATAAATTGGATAAACTCAATTTGTATATATTCAAAGTGGCACCAACGATTTGATCTATGCACGGATCAAATTCTTTGCTAAACCCTCTGCAATAATAGATTTTCATATAAATAATTATTATACCTTAACAACAAACATGTCGTAAATTTTTAAAAATAAATTAATCGTAATTTGTCGTAACTTTCCTCGTGTCCAAATGCCAAAGCATAATTTTGCTGAAAATTGTTATCATGACGGAATCATCAAACTCGTCGATGCTCAAAACGTTAAAATGCCTTGAAAATCTGGGAGTAACCGTGTTTCCAGTTGAAGGTGGTCCCATGGCGGTCATAAGTATAATATCTATTAATTTCATTGGAACTATGTCTTTTCTATCATACCAAATAGAGTGATCAAGCCATTGTCTGAGGAGTTCTATCGGAGGCTGTGCTCCGTATGTTTCTTTCATGGGCATTGACACATCGTCGACAAAAATTACACATTTTTTTCCCAAAGGAGGTCCGTAAACACCTATAAAAAATATTTTATGGCGTTCCTTGAATAAATTCAATTGTAAAAAATTTAATTATTTTCCTTTAATTCACCTTTTTTCCTTTTATCTAATTTTCCCATTATAATGTCTTGAGTTTGATTGGCTGAAGTTTGAGCTGAAAAATTTATGAACAATGGTTTGTACACATCATTCGGGATTTTTTTCAATAGGAAATCCTAAACAAAAATATTTATGCATTTAAAAATAATTTTTTTTTTTTTTTTTTTAATTCTGCTCCATCAAATTTAATTTAAAACCTTACGGTTATGTATACGGATTTCCCTGTACCCGTAGGACCGACAAACATTGAATGTTTTCCTTGAGTTGTTAAAAGCAACATGATGGCTATGTTTCTAATAGTTTCGACAGTGGTTACTATTATTTGATTAACAGGAATATCACGTGGTATCGGAGGAACATTTTGTAATTCGTCGGACCATAATTTCCATTTTCCTTTTCCCTAAAAAATTAAAAATTTTTTTTTTTGTTTTACATGTAACCTTTTTTTTTTTTTTTTTTAAATAAAAATTAAAAACCTCACTTCTTTGATAAACCTGTAATCATATACTGAACCCTCGGAAGGTATAGTAAAAATATAATTCTTAGCGGGAGGTGGTACATCCATAGGTAAATCAAATAATTTTTTCAAATATGGTGGAAATGTTTTCTCCATCAAACCTCTAAATAGCAAGTTAAACTTTTCACGACTTTTGGTATCTAAAGCTCCACCAATCGACCAAATGCACGAGAAAAAAAATACACCCTGAAAATTAAAGTTAAATATTATTAATTAAATTTTATTTGAATGCCATCTATTTTTATCGTATTTAATTTACCTCTAATTGAGCTCTTGCATCTAAATCAGAAATTGTTTCCATATACTTTTCGTCGCGAAAATCATCCAGATAACAGTCGAACAAATTCGTACAAGATCTAACTAAATTAGAATCAGACGTGGGTCCTATTTCACGAACGCCGCTTTTACGTACAAACCACAACAATGGCTCCAAAAATCTTTTAAATGTGGCTTTTAACATGTGCTTATGTATGTCTTGAATAATATCCGGTAAATTGTTTATCCAAGATTGAAGTAAAGGTTCCCAACCCAACGTACACGGTTCCATGTATATCATTCCGCATCTGGACACTGTGGCTGGAGATGCTACCTCCAAATCCATCGGCTCAAAAACTAAATTTGTCGTCGGAGCCAATTGAATAATTTCACCTGACATTAGACATAATTTTTTATTATCGTCCAAAACGGTATTCATGTTTTCTATCCAAATCGCATCGACGGGCCCGTCAAACACTAGCCACTTTCTATTATCATTAGTTGATTGAGCAAATTGCCTGTAGCTAACAGCTAAAACTCCGTCGGACCATTCGTGTGACACTTGATCAAACTGCCCGTACAACTGACCCATTGTTATACTTTTAGGATTGATTACGATTATTTCAACTTTATGCTCGTTCATTTGACCCTAAAATTATTATTTTTTTTTTTTAAATCAAATTTAAAATAGGATTTTACAAGTAGACGTTTATTTTTTGAATGATGATTAAAAGTATTTCGCAATGTAAAACATTTACACGTTGCTCTATTAATTCCAAACCGGCAGCTAACATTCTGTAGGCCGTTGTTTTGCCACCAAAAGGCAAACCCACTATCATAAAACCGTGACGCACAATCATCATTTCATATATTTGTTGAACTTTTTCCAAAAATGGAGGAGTGCACTGAATGTTAGCCGTATCGCAAGCATCAAAAACTGCTTGATTTAAATCGGTATAATCCGGCTCGGGCAAATCAATACCGGGGAATAAATCTGATGCAATACCCTGAAATTTTCCGCATAAAATTTAATGAAAAAATTTAAAAACATTAAATCTATTAAATGTACGCTAAAAACTATTTTTTTCTTTTTTTTTTTTTTTTTTTTACCTGAAATAATGGTATATCGTGACTTAAAAACTTAGCCAAATTAACATCTTTTATAGATCTTAACATGAGAATATCTTCGCTTTCATCCGGATATTTCAATTTTAAATTTCCGGCAGCCGTTAAAACTGATTTGACGGCTCTCATACCATAATCGTAATGGCATTGAGAAGATAATTGTTCCGAGCACAGCCGATATGTCGCCACAATTTTCACGGCCAAAGGTCGAGCTTTGATAAAACCATAAGAGTACAATACTATTTCTGATATCAAAGCATAATCCGGTACCATCATGGCCACGGATCTGAAAAGCGCCTTCAAGTTGTCAGGTAGTTCGGATCTACCAGCATATCCAGGATTCATCGTGATAAATACGGCACATGTGGGATCGAGTTTTAATTCTGTGCCCTCGAAAACGAGAGTTTTTAATTCTGCATTGACGGCACGTTGAATCGTTAATATTTGTTGAGCTACCACGGATAATACTTCCAAATCGATTCTATTAAATTCATCAAAACATGACCAAGCACCGCAAGATGCGAGACCTTTGAAAAATTTTCCTAATGCAATATAATCCAAACCGTCTGAACAATTAAACACGACGCATTGTTTGGCCACCGCTTTGGCTAAATCTTTTGTAGTTTCCGTTTTTCCTGTACCGGCTGGGCCTTCAGGAGCACCTCCTAAATGAAGATTTAGGGCACCAAACAGTGTTCTATAGCATCGATCGGTAAGAGGAGTGATTACCAAACGAGGAGAATTACCCAAATATTCGTAACCGTATAACAAAACGGAATTAATCATACAAACAGTAAAGTCGATTTCCTGTAATTCGACAACAAAAAAAAATTTTTTTTCATAGACGAATTTAAAAATAAATTTACCTCGAATATAAAAAAAAAAAATTTGTTATTTTTACCCCCCAATAATATCGAAGTTGCGCCAACCATTGGAAATCATTCTCTTGCTCTACATTTTGCTTAATCAAATCCGACAAAACATCTCGAGCGTGAACATCAATGACAACCAAAGCACCGAGGGTTATACGATTTTGCAAACTTAATTTTCCTCTGACCAATTCAATTATTTTTTCTAAATTTCTATTGCATTCATCAAAATAATGTGGTAATTTGTGTTTCTTTATCGAATGATGAACATCTTTTGTCCAATAAGTTGCTGAAACGCATAATACGCATTGTCCTGGCCATTGCAATACCCATTCATGCCTGAAAACAAAAAAAAAAAAAAAAAACAAAAAAAATCAATAAACTAAAATAAACCGATATTGTAACTTAATTATTTCGCGAGTCACACCTTGGAATGGTTACATAATGATCGATAGCAGCACCTATTGTAAAACGAACACTTTTAACCATACTTCTTTCCAATTCGAGAAGCCATTTTTCAACTTGACCTCGTGCTTGAGCTGTATTTATATGATCAGTCAAAGGTACTTCTTCTCCTTCACTCGATCTCATCGTGGTAACTTCGAGCGTTTCCGTGAACCGTAGTTTAGCGATTCCTTCAAAACATTTTTTCAGATGAGGTTGTACCCTAAATAAATATTTAAATATTTAGCATGCCTTCATTTTTTTTTACAAGACAAAACCTCGTTTTTTTTTATATTACCTAGTTGGATCCTTCGTTTCAGAAAGAATTTCCAATAATTCATCGTTTGATAAGAAAAAGAATCTGGAAAAGTATAATCTTTTCTTTTCCAAATAATCATTGAGACCCCGTTCGATCAATTCCAACAATCCGTTACATTTTTTTAATCTTTCTGACATTTTTTCTATTTCAACAACGGCCAATACCTTTGTATCCAAAATAACCGTTTTCATTATGTCTCGCCAAGTCTAGAAAAAAATTAACAGAGAAATAGTTTCGAAATTCTTAAACAATTAACATGCATAAAAAAATTCAATACTTTATCAACGGCGCTAAATCTTCTTCCTTCTTCGGGCATTTGCATTTGAATATCGGGAGAAGAAAATATTGGTTCCAAATACATCCAAGTCGCTTGTACTTTTAACCAATCATCAAGGATATCTTGCAAAAGCATAAGTTTTGCTTCCCAATTTCTATAATAAAAACGCGGGAATAAATTATAGGCAATATATATAAATTATTAAAAAATTTGTTACGTACAAAATATCCTGTTCGAATGGTTTTATGTAGGGTGAATTTTTCATTGTTTGAGTTTTGACAATGTGATCATCGAGTAGTAATTGAATTTCATCGACCGATGATAAAATGTATGTGCCGCTATCCCTAAAATAATAAAAATACAATAATCAATAATCAATATTCGATATGTGTATTTAACGACTATTCCATTCTTACTTACGGTTAAATAAATTAAATTAAAATCCAATTTAATAGCATATTTAAACAAAAATTTAATTAATTTATTTTTTATTAATAAATACTAAAAAATTGAAACAAAAATTATTTACTCACTTGTATGGATTACAAACGAAATCCATTTCTTCCCATTCTTTTATCATTTTTTCCATTCCTTTTTCCAAATTATTTTCTTTCGTCGCAAAATCCGATATAAGTTCAAATCTCGCAATGAATTCTTCTAAATTCAATTCAATAATTTTAGACAGTGTCAGCGAATCATCTGCTTTAAGTGGGAAACCAATAATATCGGAAACTTTTTCCCAGTGTCTCGATTTCATTCCGGGATTTCCAAGGGTTTGAATTATGGGTAAATGTCCGCGGAATTCTTCAATTCTGGATCGTACGGTTTCGGCTAATCTTTTCGTTTCCGGTTGTTCGGAAAATTGTTTCTCGAGTTTATAAACGATTCTGTACCAAGTTCCCGATTCTTGATCGATTTCTTCCGGGTCAAACGATCCGATTCTACTGTTCATCCACAAATCGTATTTGTTTAAGAAATCAGTCGCAGTTTCGTATAATCTTTTATACGGTGCCAATTTATCACTGATCTAAAATATGCAAAAAAAAAATTTTTTTTTATCTTTTCGTTTTTTTGAAATCTCGAATACATTTGTTATAAATGAAGTCACCGACTTGTTTTCTCGCTGGATAATATGACTCGTCAAAGCCATAAGCTTTTTCTTCTGCATTGAATTCATCAATCAATTCCGTAGCTTTCATAAGGCGTGCATCTAACGTTAGCGCTTTTTTATAATATTTGGGCAAATCTTCAATATCACCAAAAGTCTGAAATTCTTCGACTTGTCTAGCATAAGAATCTAAATCTTCTTCAAATTTTTTTATGCGAGCCTGAAAAAAAAAAAAAAAAAACAAAACAAAAAAATTAATAATTTTTTATTAAAAAAAAAAAAAAAAACAAGAAATATATGATGGAATAAAACCCTAAGAGCTTCTTGAAATTCCGCCGTTTTCAACTCGACCATTTTCCTATGTTCTTCCAATATGGAAGGCATACGACCATACCACTGATAAGTTATGTTGTTGGTTTTCAATTCTACAGAGGAAAAAGTGACGTAATCTGACAAAAAAAGAATATATTTCATAACCTGGAAATTTTAAAATGATATTTTTTTTTAATTTTTACACTTCGAACTTTAAATATTTTTGCCTTAAACGATTTGGTAACTCAAAATGTGACACCAACTTCTCTCAAACGTTCTTCCATCTCGAAAAGAGTCACAGTTTCAATTTTATTCACGTATGCAATAAGTTGCATTAATTCATCCGTGCATTCTGGAACTTTTAATGCTTTTTCTGCTATGTGTTGATAATCTTCTCCTATTCTAAAAAAAAAAAAAATTAATTTTTAAATTAAATAAATAAACTTATAAATAATAAAAAAAACAATTTAAATATATATGTATATAAACCAACTGTCTGCATATGGCTTGGCTATCACTCGTCATTCTACTTAAAATTTGATTACGAAAAGATTCTGCATTATTTACTAATGATTCAATTAAATCGTGGCGAAGAATTTCATACATTCCCATTGTAATGGTATGATCAATCGAAAGAGGAATATTTCCTGCTATATCATGGTATAAAATGACATACGTACAATAAGCTAAAACGATGAAAAAAAATCATTTAAGGAATGACGTTTTTTTTCTGATAAAGTACACCAAATAAAAAATTTTTCTTTTTAAAAAGGCGTACCTTCAAAATCGTGGGGATTAGACAAAAATTCGTTGATATGATCCTGAGTATTACAGTTAATTAAATCAATATAATCATCAAAATCTTGAATTCTTAATTCGGGTCCGATTCTCTGTTCTTCTAACGTTTTTATAACTTGAGCTTTGTTCAAATCCACGAAATCATCCGATATGAGGGGCTGAAAAAAAAAAAAATATAAGGAAAGTTTAATGAATCGATTCAGACATTTTTTTTTTAAATTTTTTTTTAAAAACTTACTTTTAATATGTCCTCGCCGATGTCCCAATCCATGTACAATTTATTTTCAAGCCTGGGCATATTGCTCACGGCTATAACCATCAATTCATAGACGGCAAGTATGGCAGAACGAAAATTTTGAAAACTCGGTTCAAAAGCAATCATTTTATTTCTTAAACAAACTCCAATTCTCAATCCAGGATTTTGGTACTGAATGAAAAAAAACTTTTTACAAAAACTTATCTTGTAAATAAGTATCCTAAAAATCAAGAAAATTCAATATGATTTCTTAATTTCCTTTTTTAAATCTTAAAATAAATACTTACTTGAGATGAAGGACATATCTTAATGCAGCAATGAATAATAATAATAATAATAATGATAATAAAAAAAAGATGTAATTTTTTATAATTTAATTTAAACTACTTTTGTTGAGTTCATTAGAAAAATGATTTTAAATTTAAGGTTTGAAAATCCTTTGATTTCTTACCCCAACATCACAAATAAATTCCGTGTAATCCTTTATCGAATCAATACAAAGACTTTGAAGTTGATAAGCCATAACTTCAGCCAAACAATCATAAAATTTTTTAATTTTTTTATGATTATCAGAAGATGGTATTAATTTTTTTTTATTTCCCTATAATTTGAAAAAAAAAATTAAAATTTACTATAATAAGTAAGTATAATACAAAAAAAAAAAAAAAAAAAAAAAAACAAAAAAAACAATTTTTACCTGAAGAAAAAAATTCTGTATGGTTGGAAACCAACTATTTTGCAATATTTCTTTCGCTTCTTCAATATGTTTATTTGTAAAATATTTAAATGCAGGTAAATCTAAGGCTTCATGTGCATTTGTCAATTCTTTAACTCTGACCAATCTTAACGAACTAATAAAAAAAACATTAATAATTATTATTATTATTACAAAAGTGACATGTCTATTAAATTCAAGTTGATGACGAGTGAAATAACATACAGGTATTGTTTGTGCCATAAATCTAAAACTTGTGCTATGCAAGGATTGATCAAGTATAGATTTTTTAACAATTTTAATTTAACTTTTTGATATGTGAGACCAAATTCCTTGCATACTCTTTTAGCATCTCTTCTATCTTCCGAATCATATTCTTTTAAACCTTTATTATCAGCTGCTGGATCTGTCAAAACAAAATCCACAATTGATTTTTTTATACAAAGTACATATTCCTCTTTGACTTCTTCCAATAGTTCATTTAATATTTCTTCCCAATATTTAAGTTTTTTAGGTATAATTAACATTATGTGATCAAGCCATGATTGATTTATTGATGATGCATGAATTGTATCGACGCCATTATGAATGTAATAATAATAACGAAGGACTTTCATGTCATCGTTTGTAGGTATTGCATCAGGAGGAGCTTGAACTTCATCTTTTTTTAATATGAGTAACAAAAGCCTTTTTCGAAATTCTTCTCTTTCTCTACGAAGTTCGGCATATGACTGCGTTCAAAGACAAAAAAAAAAAAAAAAAAAAAAAAAATCATAAACTTTTTTTTTTATACCTTACATGATTAATAATTACAAATAATAATTGTTTTTTTTAAATACCTGTACTTTTGTACGCTTTTTATCAAAATTAGGTGCGTATGACCTAGGTAAATGCCTTTTGAGAACAGGACGTGCCACCAATTCTTTCGGAACAGAAAATAATTCTTGTTCGTCAATGACGACATCCTTTCCTTTTTTTGGTATGACAAAATCGTTGCAAAGTTTTTTCGCGCCTAATTTTTCTTTATGCTTGGGCATTTTTTTTTTTTTAAATTATTTTTTACTGTTTTTATTGTTGTTAAATATATATTAACTGATAAAAAACTTTTATTATTTCATTTAAGTTCATGTTGAAAAAAACAAGTACTATTGCTATGACAATATTATTGATTTTATATATTTTTTAAATATAAATTATATATTCAAATTAAAATTAATTTTAATTTGATATTTAAAAAAAAAAAAAACTTTAAAAAATAAACACTGTAAAATTAAAACAAACAACAATGGTGGTCTAAGACATGTTATTAATTTAGGGAAATATCATTCGACAATAATAATAATAATAATGACAATAATTTAAAAATGTAATCGGAATGTTATGTAAAGTAGTTTAACTTTTAACAGTATATACATAGTTAAAATTTTACATTCGAACAATTTTTTTAAAAATACAAACTGCACTGAATAACTGAACAAAAAGAAATTTTATTCTTATTTTTAAATAATACTTTTAGTAAAAAAAGAAAAATTTTTGACATGAGTGATGTTGTCGATAAGAACAAGAACTACTATTCGAATGATTTTAAAGGTTTCTTTAGTTAAACCTAATGTATAAAATATTAATTTACTCAAGTTATGTAATTATGTATAATAAATTCTTTTAGTTTTTAAATTACTTATTCTATTACAAGCAATTAATAATAACATTACAATTATGTTTAATACAAAATGACATTTTTTTTTTTTTATTACTTTTTCATTTCCTATAATTTTACTCGTGATTAAGTTAATAAATTATTAAAAGAGTTCAATTATATCTATCTTATTGTTACAAAATAATAAATTTTTTATTACATTATTACTATTACTAATAGAAAAAATCATACTTTAAACATATTTAAATATTTTAACTTATTTATACAATTTGTTAATGTTTTAATTAGTGTTATTTTAAAATAAAAAATTACATGGAAATTTAATTTAACTCAAATTTAATTTAAAATAAATACTTTTCAAGTTCTAACCTTAAAATTCGTTTTTTTTTTTTTTTTCCTAATTTAATAAATTTTATAACTTGTAATATTTTTTTGATTGCTTTTATTACATAATTACGTAATATTAGTGAATGATTACAAAAAAAAAAAATATTTTAACAAATACAGATATTCCTTTTAATCTAAAAAAAAAAAAAATGTAAAAAAAATTAACGTAAAAAACCGTTGTATAAAAAAATTATTAATAAAAAAATTTAAAAAAAACCATCGACATTTATCTACTTCCACTTTCTCCATTGATTTACTAGGAACGTAATGTTTTTATTAAATACAAGGCTTTAATAATTTTTTTTTTAGGATGGGAGTATTTCGATTTTTCTATTCAAGTGCATGTCATCATGGAGTGACAAAAAATGCTCTTGCAGCTCTCCGTAAAAAAACAGGATGTACTTTTGCCAATTGCCGAAAAGCTTTAGAGCTTCATAATAATGATGAAATTAAGGTATGATAAGGTTTTATTTCACGAAATTATTGTATTATTATATTGTGTCATTACAAATTTTTATTTATTTGTCCCTAAAAATTACAGGCCGAAGAATGGCTGAAAGAACAAATTAAAAGTCTAGGATGGATCACAGCTGAAAAACTACAGAGTAGAGCTGCTAGTCAAGGTTTGATTGGTATAGCTAGTTCGAAAAAAAAAGTAGCCATGGTGGAAATCAATTGCGAAACTGATTTTGTATCCAAAAATGAAAAATTTAAAAATATGGTCAATATAGCTGCAAAGGCTTGTTTAAAATATCCATTATTGTCATCAGGAACTGATACACATACAGTAATTTCAATTTCATAATTTTTTTTTTTAATTTCCCCCCCCCCCAAAAAAAAAAAAGGTTTAACACATGCCACACATTTTTTTATAGATACTACTAAATTCAGAAACCATGGGTAAATTAAAAGTGGGAAATGAAACTTTAAAAGACCAATTAGCTGTATTAGTAGGAACAATCGGTGAAAATTTATTATTGAAGCGAGCATTTTGTTTCGAAACAACAAATGATGATATTGAAGTCGCATATTCCATACATCCACCTTGCCAAAACTCAGATGTCCTCATCGGTATTAATATTTTTATTTTATTTATATTAATTAATATAATAAAGACTTACTTTACTAAAATGATGTAATATTATAGGAAAATTTGGATCATTCATCTCATACAGAAGATTAAAAGGAGAAAATGTAAACGGGGATGTGAAACCTACTGATAATGTAGGTTATTCGTTATGTCAACACATAATCGGTATGAGCCCATCTAAAATAGGAGAATATAATGTAGATGAACCGAGTAAAAATTCAAATGATGAAAAGATTTTTATATACCAAGATTTTTTATTTGATGAAACAAAAACTGTTGGAGAAATTTTAAACGAGTCTCAAATTGAAATATTAGATTTCAAAAGATTTGAATGTGGGGAAGCAGAACCGGAAAAAACGACAGAACAATAATACAATTACTGAAAAAAAAAAAAAAAAAAAAATTTCAATTAATTATAAATAATTGTTAATTTATTTAAATTTTTTTTTTTTTTTTTCCTTATTTATTTATTTAGATGAAACGATAGAAATCTATGAAATATATATTAAACTCTTTGAATTTGCATATAATTGAATAATATACACAAATCAATCCTTTTATTTTATTTTTATTAAAAAGTTAAATACAGAAATTATTAAAGACTTGTATTTAAATATTTTGTGTTCATAATTTTTTTTTACTCGATATTTTTCTCACATGTTTTTTCTTTTTTTTTTTTTTTGTTCGATAATCTCATGAAATTTTTATTATTTAATATCATTATGGATAAATTAATAATTTTTTATTTATTTATTTGTTTTAATTGAAATTTAATTTAACAAAAATAGTTTTATTGGAAAAAAAAAAAAAAACAAAAAAAATTTTAAAACTTTTATTTAATTTCTCCTAATCTTATCATCGACTAAATTATCATTTTCAAATATTTTAATAGTTAATTTTTTTTTTTTTTTATTTAAAAAAATTAATTCTTTGTTTTTATTTCTCGTTATTATTTAACCTTGATAAAACACCTGGAAAATAACAAAAATAAAAAAAAAAAAATAATAATAAAAAATTCAGTTTTATAAAAACGTTTAGTGAGTGAAGTTTGTGTTTAAAAAAAACAAAATCAAGGTATTATTATTATTATTATTATTAATTCGACCGCAGAAATTTTTAATAATAATAATTTAAAAAAAAATTATTTTAACTTTCAAGGCTATTATTATTTATAATCAGGGTAAATTTATTTATTAATAATTTTTTTTTTTTTTTTTTTTTGTAAATTTTTTGTAAGAAACAAAAAAGAAAAGAAAAATTCTTTGACCTTCCTTAAAACTTTTTTATTATCGATTATGAATTCATTAAAAAAAAAAAAAAAAAAATTCTCTATTATCAAAAAAAAAAAAATTGCATGTTTTCACATAAAGAACTCGTTATTATTATTATTATTATTAGTATTATTATCGTCCTTTAATTTTTTCAGTTTCTATCGGTAAAAAATTTGTTAAAGTTGTGAAAAAAATTTTTCTCTTATTCTTCCAATTTTTTTTTTTTTTTTTTTTTAAACTGTAATCCCATTTCTTTATTAAATTTATTATTATTATTATTTTTTTTTACACGATGATGATGATGATGATGATTATTTTTAAATGATTCATTTTTTTTTTTTTTTTAAATTAACGATAACCTATTTTTTTATTTTTTATGCGGGTGTTTAAAAAACATTAAATTCGACAATGAACCCTTTAAGTCGGCTAATATTCAACGGATTTGATAACAAAGATAAAATTAAAATTTTTAAAAATGGCGGAATTGATAAGAATTACAATGATAAAGAATTGTTGTTGTTATTACTTAAGTTTAACACCATATTGCAAACGTTACGTTAAATCGTTTGACCGTGAATTACCGTGTTTTTGTTTTCTTTGTTATTTATATTATAATTAAATATTTAAAATAATAATAATAATAAATAAATAAATAAATAAATTTTTTACAAAAAAAAACTAAGTTTGATAAAGTGTTATTTTGTTTGTTTGTTTGTTTTTATTATTTTGATATTTTCAGGTAAATATTTAATCAAAAATAAATTTTCCTAAATTTTTTGTTTTTTTTTTTTATTAACAAACATGATAAAAAATATCAAATGTTAATAATCAATAATAATTATTATTATTTAAAAAAAAAAAAAAAAACTTGGGGGGGGGGGAAAAAGTTTTTGTTTTTCATAAAAGAAAAATATTGTTTTGAAATTTTTTACATGTCTTGAAATTAAAAACAAAAGAATGTTTTCATAATAATAATAATAATAATAATATTTTGATTTACATACAAATTATTATTATAATTAAATAAAATTACAAAAAATGTATTGATTTAAATAAAATAAAAAAAAAAAAAAAAACATGAAAATTTTCAGTGATTTCAAATATTTAAATATTTAAAAAAAATTTTTTGTGTTAATGACAACAAACAAACAATTTTTTTTTTGACATTTAATTTATTATCATTATTAATAATTTTTGACTAAAAAAAATTCAACATCACAGGTAAATATTAAAATTATTATTTTGTTAACACATAAATTAAAATTAATATTATTAAATTTGTTAAAAAAAAAAAAAAAAAGTTTTTAGAACTTTTCATTAATTTATAATTAACATGTTTTAAATATTAAGTGACCTACTTTTTGATTTGTAAATGATTTAAAAAAGAAATAATTTTTTCAAATTCGAGCTAAACATTTTGTTTTTCTTTTTTAAAACAAAATTTTAAAGATTTATAAACTTGAAAATGTTTTTTTTTTTTTTTTAAAAAATTTGAGGTAGTTTGTTTATAAAAATATATCCATTATTATTTAATAAGAAAAAAAAAAATGACGTGACAAATTTTAATTAAATTTTTACATTAATTTTAAATGTGTCAATCATTTGCTTAACAAACGCTTAACTTTTAGTTTGTTATAAATTAAATTTTCAAATTAATAAATTGTTAATTTTATTTACAAAAAAAAAAAAAAAAAAAAGATAAAATTAATGGTTGTAGTAAAAGTAAACATTTATTGTTACAATTGTTTAAAGACATTATTTCACTTTTGCTTTTGTTAATTATTACAAAAAAAGTAATTTTTTAAATTATTTCAAAAAGTATTTTTTATATTTTTCATTAAATTTGTTTTTTTTTTTTAAATAGTTTCATTAAAAAATAAAATAATAAAAACGATTAATTTGAATTCGAAAAAAAAAAAAATTTTGACTTCATGTTGATTTTTCATTTTGCGACAAAAATCCCTGCAAAAAATTTAATTTAGTTTTGTCCGTTACGAGTATGATTGACGAAAGTACGAGTAGTTGTTTGAAAATGTATATACACTTGGTTAATTTGATTTAAAAACGTTTTCTTTTTTTAAACAGGTATAATAATTAAATATGACTGTTGATTCGGCATTTAAAAATATAAAACGGGGACAAAGTAATTTTCTAATATGGCGTGTGGAAAATTTCGAACTTAAACCTGTCCCTATTTCACGCTATGGAAATTTCTACGAAGGAGATTCCTACATTGTTTATTCTGCTTTTCCAGTTAATCAAACGTCCAGGGTAAGTTGGATTACATTTTTCTAATTAAAATACTGAGATTATTTACATTCTAAACGTATGGTAATTTTTTTTTCAAGTCCGAAGAAGGTAAATTAGAATATCACATACATTTTTGGCTTGGTTCTTCCACAACAACTGATGAATCTGCAACAGCTGCTATAAAAACTGTAGAACTGGATGAAGTTTTAAATGGCGATGCTGTGCAACATCGTGAAGTACAAAATCATGAATCCAATCAGTTTAAATCATATTTTAAAAATGGGATTCGTATCCTAAAAGGAGGAGTAGCTTCAGGTATGCTAAACATTATATATATATTAAACATACATTAAGGTATATTAAACAACATGAAAACTGTTTATCTCTTTTCACTTAACTAATTTTATTTTAAAAAGGTTTCCATCACGTCACCGATGACTTTGTATCACGATTATATAAAATTAAAGGAAAAAGAAGACCGACCATGACCGAACAACCCGCAATATCTTGGGAATATTTTAACTCTGGAGACATTTTTATATTAGAAACGAGCTCAAGGATTTTTGTTTGGATTGGAAAAAAAGCAAACAAAATGGAAAAATTTCAAGGCGGAAAGGTTTTTAATTACAAAAAAAAATTCTTTTGTGCAAGCTCATTATCGCGTTTTTTTATTTTTTGCACGTTAAGGAATTTTTTTTTTTGTAGATCGCATTGCAATTAAAAAATGAAGGACCGCAAAGGTCCATTGTTTACGTTGAAGAAGATAAAGAATATCATTTACAATCTGATGATTTAGAAGATTTTGAAAAACATTTAAGTTTAGATAAAAGAATTATAAATGAAGCTGAAAATGATGTGGACGACACAGAAAACGAGCAAAATTTATGCGAAGAAATTCGTTTGTATAAATGCACCGATGAAAGTGGTTCATTTAATACAACATTCGTTAAAAATGGTCCCATCAAACAAGCTGATCTCGATTCTAACGTACTTTTCTTTTTTTTTTTTATAAAATCTTTATTAGTAAAAATATTTTAGTTTATAATAAGTTTAAAATAAATATTTAAGGAGGAAAAAATAATAACGTTCAGCGTTTCGAACGTATTGATTTTTTTTAATTACAGGATAGTTACATTATAGTAAATGGTAAATCTCGAGTTTGGGTTTGGATAGGTAAAAAGGCATCTGCCGAAGAAAGATCAAAGGGAATGACAACAGCACAAGAATTTTTAAAAAAATATTTAGATTCGGAAAAAGTATGCGTTACAAAAGTCGTCGATAATGGCGAACCTGTTGAATTTAAAATGCTTTTTGCTGATTGGATCGATAAAAACAGTTCGTTGGGATACAAGATAAGAAGTCCGAGTAAATAATTTTCTTTTATTAATGCTAAAGCCCGAATTTTTAAATTAATTTGTTAATTAAGAAAAAATTTCTTTTTATTTATTAAGCTAAGAAAATCGTTAATTCAAATTTTGATGCGGCTAAATTACACGAAACACCATCTTTGGCGGCAGAAACACAATTGATTGACAATGGCTCCGGTGAAACTTTTATTTGGAGATTACGTAATAAAGAATTGGAAGCCGTTTCGCCAGATTATTTCGGTGTATTTTTTTCTGGAGATTGTTATTTAATTCAATATTCATATGATTGTAACGGGAAAAGAAAATATCTTTTGTACTTTTGGCTGGTAAATTAATTTTTTATACAGAGTTTAACGTATTTGTGCTTTTTTATTCGGTGCATGTAACGACAAGGAATGATTACAGGGTGCACATTCATCAGTTGACGAAAGAGGAATCATTGCTTGGCACACAATAAAAAAAGATGAAGAATTACAAGGAGCTGCCATTCACGTGAGGCTTGTCCAATCAAAAGAAGATCCTCAATTTTTAATGATATTTAAGGGAAGAATGATAATATTTAAAGGAGGTTACGCATCATCTTTCGACGGTATGATTTTATTGTTATTTTTCTAAACGGAAAATGGAAAATTTTCAATTTGATACGTACCTACAGGAAAAGAAGGAAAAAATAGTAACATCCCATCGAAATTTCTTGTCCAAGTTAAAGGTAGCGAAGAATATACAACTCAAGCAGTTGAAGTGGAATACAGTGCATCATCTCTAAACACAAACGATGTATTTATTTTACATTGTGACAAAAAAATTTTTATATGGTATGGAAAAGGTTCGACAGGTCGGTGATCCCCAATTGGAAAATTTGAGTACTGCGGAAAGATTAATAAATTATTAATAAAATTGATTTGTACGGTGTAGGAGATGAAAGAGAAAGAGCCAAAGATATTGTTAAACATTGGTTACCATCAAACGATTATCAGGTTTTATTCGAAGGATCAGAAGTTGAAGAATTTTGGAAACTTTTGGGTGGTAAACAACCTTACGCCAATTACGAAAGGCTTACACATCCAGAATTAAAATTTCCAGCAAGACTTTTTCACTGTTCGAACGCTTCGGGATGTTTTAAAGGTTTTTTTTTTTACTTCTTTTAAACCTGATGATAAATTTTATTATGAGTGATTGTATACCTGATACCTTTTTTTAGCCGAAGAAATTATGGGTTTTACTCAATACGATCTCATACCGAACGATGTTTTCGTGTTAGATATTGGCACTGCTATTTTTATATGGATCGGACGGGGGGCTAATGCTGCCGAAAGGTCACAATCTATCGTATTAGTAGAAGAATATTTAAAAAAGGGTAAATTAATCACAACTCAAAAAATTTTCATGATTAAAAATAATAATAATAATAATAATAATAAAACTTTTTTTAAAGATCCACGTGGTAGAGATTTAGATTGTCCGATAACGATGGTTAAACAAGGTTTCGAACCACCAAATTTTACCGGATTTTTCGGTCCATGGGATAAAGATCTTTGGGAAGTGAGTTTCAAATTATTTATAAAAAAAATAAATTATTTATTTTATATATATATATTAAAACTATTTTAAAATCCTTTTCAGTCGTCTTTATACAGCGAATTTTACACGGATGGTAAAATGGATACGCCTAACATTATCGGTTCCGGTGAAGAAATAATAGAAATAAACAAACAATCGACAAAAAAAACGGTTTATCCATTAACGATGTTAGCTAATAAAAATGCAGACGAAATTCCAAAAGATGTTGATTTAACGCAAAAAGAGGTGACGTGACGACTCAATGATAAAAAAACCTACATATTATTATTATTATTATTATTATTACAATTCAAATTAAATTTAAATATTTTTTTCTTTTTCAGTTTTACATAAGCGATGAAGATTTCGAATCGGCTTTCGGAATGAAAAGAATTGAATATTTATCACTTCCAAAATGGAAACAAAATAATTTAAAAAAACAAATCGGCCTTTTTTAATAACAATAACAATAATAATAATAATAATAATAATTATGTAATTTTTACCGACCGACACAGGTAAATAAAAAAAAAAAATGTCTCTCTAACAACAACAACAACGACGTTTCACAATAAATTAATTAAAAAAAATAGGGCGAATGTACTACTACTGCCACTACTACTACCACTACTACTACTACTACTACTACTACAAATACAAAAAAACAAATAATAATAATAATAAATCAATTATTTGATAAAACAATAAAAAAAAAAAGATTTTTTTTTTGTTTTTTTTTTTTTTTTTAATACGAATTATTTACATTTATTTATTTATTTATTTCATTTTCATTTTTTTTTTTTATTTACTTTAAATTAAATAATCACTTATTAAAAAAAATAGATAATAATAATAATAATAATAAATAAAATATTTATTCGTATGTATATTTATATATATATATATATGTATATAATACTACAACTAAAAAAACGTAAAAAAAAAAGTTTTACAATAATAAAAACAATACAATAATAATAATAATAATTATTATTATTATTATCATCATTCGGTTCGAAGTGCTAACCTCATTCTTTATCTATGTATACATAAATATATTATTATTATTATTAAAAAAAAAAAAAAAAGAAGAAAATTTCGTTGTTTTATTTTTATTATTATTATTATTATTATTATTCACGCAATTTATTAAATAAAAATAAATATTTTAAAAAAAGCAGCGGAAAACGACACAAAAATTATTATTATTATTATTTTTTTTTTAAAAAAATCAACAACGATTTTATTATTAATAATAATAATAATAATAATTAGTACTTTTAAGATTATTATTATTAAAATTTATTCGTTTCGTTGAGAAAACATTTATTTATTTATTATTTAAAATTATTAAATGAATGTTTTTATGACGTTTGGTAACTCGACAGAAAAAAAAAACCCAATCATTATTATTATTATTATCATCATCATCATCATTATTATTATTATTGTTAATAGAAATAAAAAAAGTTATAAAAATCGCCGACCAACACCTTGTGACGTGTGTTAAAACAAAAAATTATTATTATTATTATTCATTTTAAATGTTAGTTAATTAGTTTTTTTTTTTTTTTTTTTTTTTTTTTTTAATTTTTATGTGTAAAAGCATACAAAAAAATTTCTATGTAAAAAAAAACCGGTAATAATAATAATAATAATAATAATAATAATAAAACACATTACGCAACAGAAAAATATAAAAAATTAAAAAAATAAAAAAGGAAGCAAAATTAAACAAACAAACCTCACACGACTACAAGTTAAAAAAAAAACTTTCTCATTATTATCATCATTATCATTAAAAAATTATATTTACAGTTATTTTGTTTAAATTCTTGTGTGTGTGTGTGCGCGGGAGCGCATACATAACCTATTCTTTTCTCTTTTTTTTTTTTTATGTATTAAAAATCTAATTTCAAATTATCATCATCAATAAAAATTTTTCATTTATTTATTTATTTATGTATAATCATTTATTAAAACTTTATGCATTTACCAATCAATCAATCAATCAATCATTTTAAAACATTCATTTTATAAACTAAAGTTTTTTTTTTTTAATTATCCATTTTACATGCAATGGAAGCACTTTCAATTTAAATCCTTTATTATTATTATTATTATTACGAGCCTTTCGAAAAACAAACATTTTATTTAAACAAAAAAAAAAAATTAATATTATTATTTTTACAATAAATTATAACGATGAATGAATTCAATTAATTAATTAATTATAATAATAATAATAATAATAATAAATTTTATAGATTATCAAGATGTTGAGTGTGATGTTAATGTGTCCAATTTAAAAAATGATAATAATAATAATTTTTTTCTTTTTTCCTATTTTCAATTAATTAAAATTTTCTTGCTTTGTTCCATCTTCGATTAATTTTCTTTTTACCAATCAATCAATCAATCAATCATTTAAAATTAATTAATAGCGTGTATTAATGAGCAATAAATATAATAAGCTTTCGATGAGCATAAATTATTAATAAAAAAAAAACATTTTAGCGAGGAGGACCCTAAAAGCTTTGAGGAAGCATAATACAAACGTTATGAACCTATCATCATCATCATCATCGTTATTCTCCCCCCCCTTTTTTTTCTAAATGTTAAAATCACAGGCTTTCGAAAATTACGAAAAAATATTTCTTTTAAGAGTAATAAAAGTGGAAAAATATTTAACAACATACACCGGTTAATGTTAGCGTTAATGAAAAAATCGACAATTTAATAATAATAATAATAATAATAATAATAATAATAATAATAATAATAAAGTAAATGATGATGATAATGATAAATTCATCCGTAATTTTTTGTGACCTTAAACAATGATTTATTTTTTAAATAATCGAACGAACGCAACGTGCACGATAAATTACAATCTTATCCTGTTATTATTATTATTATTATTATTATTATTATTATTTACAAAATCTATTAAAATCTATGATTCCCTGGAGGTCCCTGGAGTGGACTGGAATACCCGCCGAGATACACCTAACAGTCTTATATATATATATATATAAAAATTTTCAGGTTTTATCGCGTTCGATAAGTAGTAGCTAACTAGTGTTTAACCGAAAAAAAAAGGTATGAGTAAAACAACTGATTAATTATTATTGTTATTATTATTATTATTTCCTCTTCTTTTTCTCATCTCCTCCCCACTTTTTTTTTTTTTTTTTTTTTTTTTTTTTAAGAGCACTTTGAGGCAAGTTTTTTTTTTTTTTTTCTTTTTTAAATAAGGCGCACTTCAACCCTACAGAATTATTTTTTGGTTCATCATTTTGGATTCGCTGATGAATTTGCCGGTAATGTCGAGGATCTTTGTTGAATGTTATAAGGTTTCATCGTCGACCTCGTCGATTCTCTACAAAAGGTATAAGAAAAAATTGTTTTCAAAATTATAGTTTTGTATTAAAAACTTTGACGGAGAGAGAGAGAGAGAGAGAGAGAGAGAGACAAACAAACAAACCTGGGAGAAATTTTAGAACCTTCGACGCAGTTATTCGCTTTGTACCCACATTTCTGTATTTTCCTACTCAACCTTTGAACCCAAGCTTTCTGATCATCAGAATTATGAGCCAATAATAATAAATCTTTGGCACTCGTCGGATCTAAGTGTAATTTACACGGCGCAATTGCATCCTCTTTCTTATCTAAATGTTCTTTGTGAACTTTGATTCTACACCGTCTGCATTCGACGGCGGGAGGAGGTCGAAACATGTGCCACAGGGGCTTGGGACAAACTTCGCACGTCGTCGGCATGTGATACGATATTTGAACAAATTCGTGACCCTTGACGATGGCCGTTCCCGGTTTATCCTCTCCTCTCAATGTAGAATGATCCAGCGTTTGAACGCCTCCCTCTTCTGGCTTTCTAGCTTCTCCTTCTCCGGCGTATAATAGCTGATAAAAAAAAGGTTTGAATCCCTCAATTCGATTGTTATTCTACCTTTCTTTTAATTTAGGAAATTATAAAAAAAAAAAATCCATCTCGATTTAACCGAAAATGAAAATTGAATTACCAATAATTGAACAGGGCCAAAAAAATTAAATTGGGCTTAAGATTTAGGATTCAATACGAATAGCTGTGGGGCAAAAAAACAAACAAAGTCAATAAAAAAAATTTAATTTTGTGCACGTGTGATTTTGTTTTTTTTTGACGTGTTGTGCACCTACCTGAAATATTCTAGGTATATCTTTGGCATCAGCACGTATTACGTCACCTTGCGTGACTGGTCTCACATGAAATACTTTGCTGTGAAGGAAAAAAAAAAAAAAAAAAATTATCTTAAATGATTCATTGAATGTTATCAAAAAAAAAAAAAAAAAAAAAAAAAAAAAAAACATTTCCTTACATAATCACTCACGCTTCGTTTTACGTAAAACTAACCTTAGATCTAAAACTAAAACGGGATCCGTATTTTGCTTATCCGATTCCGAATTGTAAAAAATTATTTTTTTCGACGAAACAACGACGTACTGTTTACGCCAACCGTGTCTTCTTATGTTTTGCTTGTTCGGCACCGACAGCCAACCCTCCAATCTCGATTCTGTAAAAAATTCATACATAAAAAATTTAGCATTCATTTAAAAAAAAAAAAAAAAAAAAAAAAAAAAATGTCTACTCGTATTAGTTGAAAAATAATTTTACCCTGGGCGTATCCGTCATCGTTTTCGTTTTCTGCACCCCCCGAACTCAAAGACGCGGTTTCGCTGCTGAGCAAAGCTAATCTCGATTGCAATTGTTCAATTTCCGAATCTTTCGAATCAACTTCCATTTGTAATCGAACTTTCATTTGACTCTCATCGATGACTTGCGACTGCAATTCTTGTATTTCTTTTTGAAATTTGGCAGCCATTTGACCGTATTTTTCTCTCTCCTGATAACATCAACATTCAAAATAATTCTAAATCGCGTTATTTAAATAAAAAAATAAAAATGTAAAATATTAAGTAATTATTTGCCTGAGTCAATTCTTGTTGTAATTTTCTGCAATCTCTTTCTTTTCTCCTAAGATCCGCCGATGAAACTTTTATCTTGGGTTTAGCTCTCAAATTCATATCTTTTCTATTCATTATTTCAGCTAATTTATTAACAGCCTGTTGTTTCAATACGATCTCTTGTTTTAATACCCTGTTAAGTCTTTCCACTTCTTCGTCTTGATTCGTTCGTTTCTTCATATCCTCTTGAACGTGCCTCAATTGCCTCGTCATTTCTTCCCGTTCCTTCGACATTTGGTCTAATTGTTTTTTGAGTTCCGATTCCCTATCCTTCAGCTGAAAATTTTTAATAATAAAATAAATGCCCAACACCCGAAATACCCATAAACGGATTCAAATTAAGTTAAATTCAAACGTACAACATTCAACGTCTGTTCCTTATTCGATTGATCGGTTCTGTGTTTGACTAAGAGATCTTTTAATTCCAATTCCTTCATCGTTTTTTCTTTTTCTAATTCGGCAACGGTTTCTTCAGCTACGGATCTTGCTAACGCTTCGCTGTCGGCTCTCGCTAATGCCAACTGCAATTGATGAGTCAAAGATCCCCTTTCTTCTTCGAGCTCTTGAACGTTTCTCTGCTTTTCTTCCAATTCTTCCTTAGTTTCCGCAGCTTGCATTTTATATAACGTCTAAACGTTTAAGTAAAAAAAAAAAAAAAAAAAAAAAATTAAAAATTACAAAACGATTTTAAAATTAATTAATGCAAGTAATTTAAAATTTACAGAAAAATGTTGTTCAGCTTCAAACTGATCTTGAAGTTCCTTCATTTGCAAATGATCCACGGATCTTTGAGCTTTGACTTTGTGCAATTCATCTTCGACCAATTTTTTATTTTGCCTCAAGAGTGAAATTTCTCCGGTCAATTGCGTTTCCCGAGCTTTAAGTCCGGCAACTTCAGATTGCGTCAACCCTAATTCTGTCGCCAGTGAAGTTTTCTTCTGTTGCTCTTGTTCCAAATTCGCTTGCAACGCTTTGACCTTTTCCATTTCCTGACGATGTTCTCCTTCCAACTTTTGCAACCTTTGTTGAATCTGACGATAATCCACCGACAGCATCGACATTTGCCTTTCTTTATCCTGAGAATGTAAATCTGCCTTTTGACGGGCACTTTTTTCTTCGTTTAATTTCGCTTGTAATGCTGTTAAACAGTTACGATTGATCGATTTAAAATTAGTAGCGTATAAAACGAGGAGAAAAATTATAAGGAAAAATATTTTTGCCTTACATTTAGGTGTTAACTCTTTTTATGATAGCATGAAACAATATCGTAATTAATGTTAGTTAAGGAAATTTTTTTTTTTTTTTAAGAATAACACAAAACCATATACCAACCTTTGACAGCTTCTAAATTGGCTTCCTCTTTTGTCAATAATCTCGAACGTTCAGTTTCTTGATGTGCTTTCACTTCTTGATTATAACGACTGTGAGCTGCTTTTAATTCCAACGTGATACCCGCGATTTCTTTTTCGAGCAATGATACTTTTTCAACGAGAAGTCTATTATCTTCGGATAATTTCTCTTCTTTTTCTTTACTTAAATCTAAATCTATCAACAATCCTTGAAGTTTTCCTTCTAATTCCTGAGTAAGGTCCGAAGCCTGAGTTCTGGAAGATCGCTCTTGAGAGAGTTGCGATTGTAACGTTGCAACTTCTTTTTGTAAACTATCCCTTTGAGCTTGCAATCCGGTAAGCATCCCTTGAAGTTCCGATTGTAATTGTTCACTAGTCGCTTTAACAACAATCAATTCTCCGACTAATTTTCTTTGCTTTGCCGCATTTTCACTTTCCGCTTTTAGTTTTTCTTGCAATTCGTTGACTTGTTTTTCTAATTGATTCATTTTATCGTTCGTTTGCTGATTATTATTCATTTCCCTCGTTCTTTTATTCTGTTCATCTTCCAATTTTTTTTTCGTTTCCGCCAAAAGCGCTTCTACTTTTCGTCGTATATCAGCTTCGTTGTCGGCGCGTCTTTGAGCTTCTTTTAAATTATGTTTAATTAAAGTTATGGATTTTTCTAATTGGCTAGTTTCTTCGGTGATTTCGGTTTCTCGAGTTTTCATTGCATCTAATTGAGTCGTTAATGATTGAATTTTAAAACATAATTCGTCAACTTTTTTCTTTTCTTTTTCCAATTCATTTTCCAGTTGATTTTTTTGTGCCGAAGTGTTTAATTTTGTCAAACCCTGAAAAAGAAAAAATGTTAAAGTTAAACAAAACAAACATTACTTTTGAATTTGCTAAATTTAACTGGTTATTTTAAAATTTTATTTACAAGGTCCACCGTGTCTCCGATAGAGTTGTACCCATCTTTACCACTGAGTAATTGGTAATCTCTAGAGTAGGTAAACCCAACAAAAGGTAAGTGGTTTCCAGCAAAAGCTTTGGGAACAGGAAAACTTTCTTCAGGAGCATCTTCTTTTTCGACGTCTTCAAAATTACTAGTGTCATCATCTCCAGATAATTCAGGAACTACAGGTGGTACTGTTTCTCTCAAGTTATCAAAATTCCATTGATCATTTTTAAAAAAGGGATGCGCTTTGATTTCATCTATACCACTTCTGCCCAGTCTTTGTGTACGATCGGTAAGAAATCCGTAAATTAAATTTTTGGCAGCTTTGCTTATTTCTATATCTTGTGGAAAACTTAATGAATTTTTATGATCCATAATTTTTGAATAAGTTTCCACAAGGCTGTCTCCGTAAAACGGAGTGTCACCCACTAACATTTCATACAGTACAACACCCACAGACCACCAATCGCATTCTCTTCCATACAATCCTTCTCCTCCTTGTGATTCTAAAACTTCAGGAGAAATATAATCTGGTGTACCCACTGCTGTGTCTGATCTAACTAATCCATCCTGAATAAAAAATTTTTTTTAAATATATAAATGATTTAACCATAGCTGAGGTTTTTTTTTTTAAAATTAAAATAATAATATTAAAATCTTACAGATCCCATTCTCATGCATGTTCCAAAATCAGCTAATTTTAAATGGCCATATTTATCTAACAGCATGTTATCAGGTTTAACATCTCTATGTACAAAACCTAAAGAATGAATGGCATCTAATGCTAAGACAACTTCAGCACAATAAAACTTAGCCCACTTTTCAGGGACATCATAGTTAGACATTAAATTAACTAAATCTCCTCCTGGCATATAATCCATGACCATATATAAGTATTGGGTGTCTTGAAAAGCAAAATGCAACTGAACAATCCACTCGGAATTGGCATGTGCCATGATGTCCCTTTCTTCCCAAAAAAATGCTGAATCTGACCTTTTGATCTTAGAGAAAAGAAAAATTATTTAATGTCACATTTTGCAATGTGAAAAAGTAGGAGTTTTTATAAACTGCATAAAAACTTAAATTACTCAATCATGGAAAAATTATCAACATAAACTTACCATTTCGAATTTGCTTAAAAGTTTCATTGCATAAACTTTTTGAGTTGAATTGTGACGAACTAGTTGAACAACACCAAACGATCCCCTACCAATTACTTTAATTAATGTGTAATCATCTGTTTTCATTCGTAAATTACATATGTCTCTAGCTAGTTTGTCATCTGCCAAAAAAACAATGTTGTACACAATCACAAAATAAATATAAATAACTAATAAAAAATTAAAAATTTAAATATTGTTATTTATAATAATTAAAAATTTTAAAAAATAAATAATAAGCTCCCAATTTTATTTGTACATTAATTTACTAACTACTGTTATTCTAACATTAACTTACATCTATTAGTATAAGCTTCAATGTTTTTCATCCTTTTTACACAAGGATGGTCACAGTCAGATATGAGGGCTTGAACAGTATCCAAAAGAGAATCAATGCTTACTGCACTTCTGGGATCTTGAATTTTATCTTCTAATTCTAATAACCGCCTTTTGCGGTCATCATCTTTTATTTTCTCCATGATGCTTGAATATGCTAAAAAAATTAAACGTAAAAAAAAAACATAATTTTAAAACTCAAAAGCAATAAAAAAAAATTTTTATTTTTAATTAAAAAAGAAATGAGTGTTTTAATCGAAAAATTAAAACGATTTGATAAAAACTGTTTTTTAACGGGGAACAGATCATCATGACCACACCTAATTTCTATGGCTTTTTTAGCATTTATTTGTAAATAAAAATTAAATGACTTAAATCCCACTAATTTACTCAGGTAACATTTTAACAATTAATAATCAAGTGATTGTTTAGTATTTAAAGCAACCCCGAGAAAACTTGACATTTCAGTACCTTTTACGCAAGCTATCAAGGCCCGAGTTCTGCTAAAAAGGAATGTGCATTGAATGCATCACAAATTAAGCTCAAGCCGATATTTCGAATATCCTTGAATAATGTGATATTTATTGTAGTTAAATATCATAATGACAAACACCTAAGACTCCCTGAAATATATAATCATGTTAATACATAAAATCGTACACCAAATACTCTTAACCGCTTCAACATGGCTGAAATATTTTCGAGTTAGCCAACATTACATCATGAATTATGTATGAATAGCAAATTTTACGTCTCTTGCTACCAGCAAAAATTATCTTAATCGTATCAAAATTTGTATTGGGCGATAGGAATTTCATAATGCTATCCGGCATTTATTAAACATAAAAAAAAGGATATATATTTTTAGTTAAATAGTTGATTTTGATTTAAGATTTAAATTTATTTCGACTTTGTAATATTGTTTTTTTGTTACTTAAAAAATGGCCGCTCAGTTTTTCAATAGAATCGGCCAACTAGGGTTAACTGTTGCAGTCGCTGGAGGAGTGTTAAACTCTGCTCTTTATAATGGTTAGTAGTCATGCTTTCGAAAATAACATTCATACGATTTGCATTTATATTCGTATTTTATTCTAACAATTTGAATTTTATTTAAATTGTAATGTGTAAAATATTTTTGAATATGATGTAATTGCAATTGATTATTTCTCATGTGTAAATTCAACAAATAATTAACTTTAGTGTAAAATTTTTCTTTTCAGTTGATGGAGGTCACAGAGCGGTAATTTTTGATAGGTTTGCCGGTGTTAAAAATCAAGTTATTGGTGAAGGAACTCATTTTTTCATTCCATGGGTTCAAAGGCCTATTATTTTTGATACTAGAAGTAGGCCCAGAAATGTTCCAGTTATAACAGGAAGTAAAGGTAACATAGTTATTATGTATCAAGTTTTTCATTGTTTAATTCACAAAAAATTTTACATTTAATAAAAAAAATTTATTATTTTTTTTAGACTTGCAAAATGTTAACATTACTCTTCGAATATTGTTCAGACCACTTCCAGAACAATTACCTAGAATTTATACCATATTGGGAGTAGACTACGATGAAAGAGTTCTTCCGTCAATTACAACGGAAGTATTAAAGGCTGTAGTTGCACAATTTGATGCTGGAGAACTAATTACTCAAAGAGAAGTTGTATCTCAGAAAGTGAGTGAAGAACTGACAGACAGAGCAAGCCAATTTGGTGTAATACTAGATGACATTTCCATTACACATTTAACATTTGGAAAAGAATTCACTCAAGCTGTCGAATTGAAACAAGTTGCCCAACAAGAAGCAGAAAAAGCTAGATTTTTGGTTGAAAAAGCAGAACAAAATAAGAAAGCTGCAGTTATATCAGCTGAAGGTGATGCCCAAGCTGCTATTCTTTTAGCAAAATCATTCGGAGAAGCTGGTGAAGGTCTTGTCGAACTTAGACGTATTGAAGCAGCAGAAGATATTGCTTATCAGTTATCTAAATCTCGTCAAGTGTCTTACCTTCCACCTGGACAAAATGTTTTATTAAATTTACCAGCAACTTCTTAAAATGAGCCAATATTATTTACTGTGTGAGCATTTTTTAGACTGTACTCTATAGATTTATTAAATATTGAGTTTGTTTTTTTTTTTTTTTTTTCATATCATTGATACTTTAATGTTAATTTTAAGAAACATCATTTAATTTTTTTTTTTTTTTTTTTTAGTTAGTAGTCGTTTATTTTATAAATAAAGTTCTTAAAAATTGAAAATATTTAAATCATTATCATTCATTGTGAATTACATTGGATATAAATAAATTCCATTGAAAATTCCTAATGAAATCGTTTAAATTTAATTTCATTTCTCGACAACTTTTTCATTAGTTTTACCTCCTGTTAATTTTTATCATTTCATAAAATTATATTTCAATCGTTGAAGTTTTAAAAAAGCTCATTAATCATTTTGATTTTGTAATAATAATAATAATAATAATAATAATCCTTTTAATAATAATCTTGATAATTGTTATTATTGTTACTTCAAAATGTTATATTTTTTTTTGTAATTTGTTAAATTTGATATAAAAAAATAAAAAAAATCATGATTGGGAAGTATAATTTTTTACAATACAGTAATATCATAAATTTTTCAATAATTTTTCAAACTTTTTGAAAAATAATTAAAGAATAAAAACAAATTGTGAATTATTTTTTTAAAAAAAAAATTGAATTAAATTCATTTTTTAACTGTTTTAGCTTGTTCAATCGAATTATTTCCACCTGGTGGTAGTTTTATTAACTAAAAAATATCTTGCATAAAATTGAAATGGGGTTTTTTTTAAAAAACTTTTTAAAGTATTTTTGCCATAAAAGATCCAAATCTTATGAAAAATGCATTATTTTATTTAAAATTTAATAATTCACTAAAAAAAAGGAAAAAAAGGAAGAAAAAAAAAGTTTGTTATTTTATTAAAAAAAAAAAAAAAAAATTTAGATATAAAAAAAAATATTGTTCGTTCCGAGACAAAAACTATAAAATGAACTTACATTTTACCTACGACGATAAATAAATTCATGAATTTTATATTTTGGTTTGAGGCAACGTCTGCGCAATGCAACGGTTTTACAATCAGTAACGCGTCGTTCTGATCGTCGGTCGGTATATGTATGTGTCTACTATATTCTTTTCAGTTAAATCGTGAAAAAAAAAAAATTTCCATTTTTGGAACAAAACAATGGTAGTACGTATTAAATTTAGTTAAAAAACAAATCATTAGTGTTTATATAAAAATATTTTTACATTTTTCAACAGCAATATCGTTTATTTAATAGTTAATAATAACGAATGAATTCGCAAATTATTTGTAAATCACAAGTGTACTGGAGTGACCGGTCAATATTACCTCCCCATAACTCTTTTCCCTCCAATTTTTTTTTTTGAAAAATTTATTCCATTAAAAATCAATCGTTATTTAAATATTTCGTTTTTAAAAATGTTTTCTTTTTTAATTAACGATTGTCGATTTTTTTGTCGATTGTTAATTTTTTGTAAATGGTAAATGTTATGCTCGGTTGTTTGAGAATTTACTATATTGATTTTACGAGCCCCATCCAATCTTCTGCACCACCATGTTTGCGTGGAGTGAATTTTTCAAATTCACAGTTTTTTCTTTTTTTATTTTTTTTTTTAATTTTATTCTCTCTTAATACAAAATTTTTTACTTTAAATAATTATTAATTTTATTATTATTATTACTTTTAATACGAAAAACATAATTAAAAAATTATATACATGTTTTAAAACCCTATTCCAAGTCAGTTAAGTTTTGTTTATTTAATTTTTGTATATTAACAATTAAACATAATTTTGTGTTTTTCACTTGCATGTTTTTAATATTAAATAGAAAAGTAAATTTTTTTTTGTATGTTAATTCATCATGTTTAGATTTTTTAACTGTCAAATACTTTTCTGACACATATTTTGTTTGTATGTTTTTTTTTATTGTTTAATGTTGTAGAATTATTTTTAATTCATTACACTTTTTTTTTTTTTTCCGACTGAAACCTGATGTAATTTTAATTCGAACAATCACATTCAGATTCATTTTACAATTTTTATTATGTTGTTGTTATTATTATTAACTTAATTGCTGCACTAGTTTTTTAGTTTCACTCAAAACAAAGTTGTTTCATTGTGTAACATTGTGTTACATTTATCGAATGTTGTGATAAAAAAATAATCATGATGGCTGCTGCATACATTTTGATAAATGAGTGATTGCCAAATTTAATTAATTGTAGGTTGTTCGAATAAAAATTATTTATTTGTGTTGTATTTTTTGTTTTGTGTGTTTGTTATTCGAATGTTTGTTTGATTGTATACTTTTTTGTTTTTTTTCTTCTTAGAGGTTTTTACTAATAAGTTTTTGTTTCGATAAGCTTTTGTAAATTCCTTTTTTTATTCAATTGGATTAAAAATAAATTTATAATTAAAATGACAAACACTTTTTTTTTTTTTTTTTTAATTAATCAAGGTAATTTTGACCACTTAACTCCAAATTATTTATATATATGTAATGTTTATAAAAGAAAAGTTTGAATTTCTATTTATGATATCCGGTATTTTAGTTTTTTTCTATATATATATATATTATTCTTTCCAGTTTGAAATGATTTGAAAAAAAAAAAAAAAACAAAAATATTTAATATAAAAATTTATTTATTGAGGAAGGTGAAAATAATAATAATGACGATTTGGACAGTTTGGCCGTCATCGGCCGCCATAGCCGTTTTAGTTTTTATTTTACTAGGAAGTTCCGTATGCGGATTCCACGTTCGGAAAAGCATAGCCGTTCTACCTCACGACACTCATCCAGGTTTCAGTATTAAAAAATTTAACAACAGCGAATTAATTAATTTCCGATTATTAGAAACGAAATATAGTCAATTTTTTACCGTTTTGGATAATGGAATTGTAATGACAACTTCTGATATTTCGCCATTAGTCAATCGTGCTGTCAACCTCGTCGTTTTGGAAGAAATGCCTAATAAAACATCAAGTCATCCTCTAAACGTCTACGTCCTTGACCGAAACGACATGATTTATTTTGAAAAAGATTTTTACGAAGGTGAATTATTAGAAAATTCTCCTCCGAGCACCGTAGTTTCTCGTCTTCCAATTATACAAGCGTACAGAGGCGGCGTGGGTGGCATTAATATTAGGTACGCTATTGTAGGCGGAAACGAAGACGATGCTTTCCGTTTGAAACCCAAAGTTTATAATAATTCATGCTTCGGAGTGGAACTCGTGGCTAATATACCGCTGGATAGGGAAAAAACAAGCGAAAGACTCGTGACGATACAAGCAGCAGACGAAAAATACATCGATAAAGCCTACACGAAAATCAAAGTCAATATATTGGATGAAAACGATAACAGTCCCGTGTTTAAGCAATTGGTCTACGATTTCGCTCTGAATAAAAATATAAATTTTGGAACCTTTAATAATGGAAACGGTAGAAAATTAAAGGTCGTGGGTAAAGTTTCGGCAACGGACGACGACGGAGATAAAATCGCATTTCGTTTATTGAATCTTAATAATGCCGTTGTCATGGTTCCACAAACCGGTGAACTCATATTAACCGGTGACCTCTTGGTGAATCCTCTCGATTTTAAAGATTTGGAATTGAACGTGGAAGCTCACGACGTGAGAACGCCAAGTCGGATATCCGAAATACCCGCGAGAGTTTGGTTGCGTTACAATGATTCTTCGAACGCCAAAGACGTCGATGGCGACCACACGTCCGAGGAGATTTCCGATGATAAAATGAAAAAAATAAAACACAGGGAAAAACGTAGAGTGACACGAGCCGTCCGTCCAACGAAAAGAATCGAATTCACAGAAGCTGATGGTGAAACCGAGGGACGAATCGTTTTTCAATTGGAAAAAGAAACGGAAAGGGAAACGTTTAAAATTCGGGATGAAAATGCTTGGGTGACAGTCGAACCCAACGGATCCGTAAGAGTCAAAAAGAAATGGGACTACGAAGAATTGGGACCGGAAAAAACGATTGATTTCTGGGTCACCATAACGAATAATGGCAACGGTGGTGAGTACTTCATATTTATATTTACTTATTTGATAAATGTCAATCGAAATTTCTCACGGTATGCGCCATATTATAAAATCTTATTTCCCAATTGATGGACCGTCATTTTTAAGGAAGGGGGAGGGAGGGCGGGAGGGAGGGAAAAACTCTTTAAAACAAAAGATTTATTTTTAATGTTGTTTTCTTTTTTTCACGTGAAAAAATATTAGGACTAAAAAAAAAAAACATGCATTATTAATTTTCTAAACATAAAATATTGATTTATGGTTATTAGTTCACTGGAAAAAAAAATTCATCTGCAGCGAACTGGTAATAAGAAAGTCGATTATTAATTTACCAGTCGATAAAGGTTAAAAAAAAAAAAAAAATGTCCCAGCGTCACGAAAAGGGTTTTTTTTTTTTTTGTGCAAAATTATTTTTATCGTTTCAATTTGTATTTTCCATTTTCTTTTGTTTTATTTTTTTCATTTTAATCGATACTTTCATTTTGTTTTTGTTTCGGCGGTCGTTAAAATTAAAACGATTTCGAAAAAAACGTGAAGAGTTTTGTATTGATGATTTGCAATAATGTTAAAATTCGTGTGAGAAAAAACAAAAGGTTCGAATTCGAAATTTATTTAAAATAAGAAAATGTTCCATTTCCTGGAAAAATGTCCGTCACATTATATTTATATCGACGTTATAAATTTTCCATAGACGTTACGATTCGAGTTTATGAAATTTTCCTTAATTTCCTTTCTTTTCTTACTCAACCTCGAGCCTACAGGAATTTACCATCGGATAACCTACCTAACCTTTTCGGTTGTGTCTTTTTTGTTTTTGTTTTGATCCTTTCGAAAAATTCATGCGATTCGAAATTGAAAACAACAACAACAACACAATTTTTTTTTTTTTTTGTTTTATCTTTCTCGAAGGTTAAATTAGTTAATATTTATTTAAACCTTTTCTCTCGAGTTGACAATCGTGAAAAAGAAAAAGGGTCATTGTGTGTTGACAAAAAAAAAGTATTTTTTCCTTTTAGACCGTTAAAATTTTTATTAAATGATTTGTGGTGTCGTCTGCTTTGTAATCGACATAACTTGGCGTTTTGCGTGTGTGTGTGAGCGTTAATGAAAATTTGTTGTTCTTAGAAAATAATTCTTTTCTTAAAAACAAATTTAAATAATTGAAATCCACGTTTTGGAAAATTTTATTTTCCTTTTTTTTTTGTTCTGTTTAATTTTTAAAACGACACGTCATTAATAAGAATGAGAAAGGAAATTTTTGCGGGTAGGACATCAACACCAACAAGAACAACAAAAACAAGAAAAACATTAAATATGTTTAATTGTCTTTTGAAAACCATTTTATTCTCATACAGTATCTCGTTTAAAAGTAATAAAATAATGAGAAATTATATTGCTGCGTCACGTTGCGTCACTTTGTTGATTTGTTAGATCACAAAAAAAAAATTTTTTGATGTGGATTTTGTTTTACGCGAGTTTGATGATTCGCTTTTGTATTGTAATCGAAAAAAAAAAACGATAATGGATTAAATGGATTTGGATTAGATAGAATTCATTGAGTATCATAATTTCTCTCTCTCTCTCTCTCTCTCTTTATTTTTTTTGCACTTAATTTACTTTGTACGATTTGAAACAAAAGAAAAATTATAAATAAATTTATTCGAGATATTCGCGTGCGAGGATTTGTGTTACGTAAAAGAAAAAGGGGATTCATTCGTCTTCTTCGTTGTTGTTGTTGTCGTTATTATTATTATTATTCACTTTCCGTCATTGAAAAAATCCATGGGTAATTGATTACCGTAGGTATTTATGCATTTTCGGGGATAAAATAAAAAAAAAAAAAAAAATAATCGTGGATTTTGAATGTTTTGTGAACACCGACCGTGAATTTGACATAGAAATTTTTTTTTTTTTTTTTCTCTCTCTTTTTCTTCGGGATTCGGTTCTTTCGAATTTGTGATTAATCGTTAATACCGCAACGAAAATAAAATATTGAATAGGTATAATTTTTCTCAGGGTTATGGGAAACAACCAAACAAAAACAACCGAAGGTTGAAACTATGAAAAAACATCGTGATTTTGTATATTAATAAATTTTTTATTATTTTTTTTTTTGTTTGTTTAAATTATAAATATTCATTCGTAATTAATCGGTTAAAATTTTAAATTTTAAATTTTGAATCCCCACAAAATCACGTCACGCTGTTTAAAAAAAAAAAAAAAAAAAAAAAAAAAGAAAATCTCTGTCGTAATTTTTTCCCGTGGGGATTCACTTTTGAGAACGTGCGACTCGCGATAATTTAAAATATAAAATTTATAAAAATATATTGGAACCGATCGATTACACGTCTTTTACCTGTCTCATCGTCTTTACCAAATCCAATGGAGGGGGGAAAGGAGGGGGAGTGAGAGAGAGAGAGGGAAAAATTATTATTATTATATAAGATGATAAAAAAAAAAAAAAAAATATTACACGATATGTGAATTTACATTTTTTTACATTAATCACTTCACCTTTTGTTAACACCTCGTTTATTATTATTATTATTACTATTATTATTACTATATATCATGCCTTCGTTGTTGTTATTATTATTATTATTAATAATATCATTATTTATTACTGCATCCTTTTTCTTTTTGTGGAAGGGAAAGAAACATTAATAATTTGTAGTAGTAGTAGTAGTTATAAATAGTTATTTTGATGTGGCTCAGTACTTACGAGACAAACTTTTTTTTTTTTTAAAAAAATGTTTAAAAATCTTTATAAATCGATATTAATATTAAAAAGAAAAGAAAAAGCTTGTGATTTATTATTATTATTCGACGGTACTTTAAAAATTGTAATAATAATAATAATAATAATAAAACGTTAAAAGTTTTTTTTTTTTAAAAAAAAAACTAATAAGTATCGATAAAATCATCCGCATATAACGATTTATTGTCGCATCGTGTAAATAACGAAAAATTTAAAATTTTTTACATCATTTTACCAACATCGAAAAAAAAAAAAAAAAAACTTAAAACGAGGGGAGGGGAGGGAGGGATTAAACCCCTTTTTGTAGTCGTTAAAAAATTTTTCAAACGTGGCAGTAATAAATAAATAAATAAATTATTTATTAAACGACATACGGTCCGTTGGTCGGTCGGTTGGTTGATTTTCAATAAGGTACGTACGTTTGCGTGGGTGTGTTTGTTCGTTTGTTTGTTTGTTTGTAATTGAAACGGCAGTTATAATAAACCGTCATAAAATAACGATAATTGTTCGTATCAACCGTGTTGAAAAAAAAAAAAAACCGGAAGGAAGTAAAAGAATATAAAAAAAATATTTTGTAGGGGGTGAAATTTATAAACGTTGGATAAAATTAATTGGAAGGAAAAAAAAGTCGTAAACGGTGTATACCCATTTATTTATTATTATTATTATTATTTATTAAATTAAATTGAAATCGTCGTCGTGACCGACGACGACGACGACAACGTTTATGACCAAAAATGAAAATTTGTAAAAAAAAAAAAAATTATCTTTCGTTAATTTGATTCATTCGTAAAAATAAATTATTAACGGGTCGTAATTCGTTTCAACCTCTCTCTCTCTCTCTCTCTCTCTCATTTTCGAAAAACCAAAAATTTTTTTTTCTTAAGATTTTTGTGTGTGTGCGTGGAATTTTTTTTTTTCGTTATAGGAACGACGACATCATAAAATTATTTTTGGAATTGTTTAAAAATTTCTTTTTTTTTTCTCGAAAAATATCATCAAAACGAAAGGGGAAAAAATTTGTTTTGGATTTTGTTGTTGTTGTTGTTGCTGTTGTTGTTGTTGTTGTTGTTGTTTTAAATCTTTCGAGAAAGTCTTATCGAATAATTGACAAAAAAAAAAAAAAAATTTACGAGAGATATCGAAATTGTAAACGTCCGGGGAAAAAAAAAAAAAGTTAAAAGAGCGTTCGATCGTATTATTATTACTATTATTATTATTATTATCATCGTGAAAAATTCGATTTCGAACGAGACGATCATTATGGGGCGATGGGACTTTTCAATTATATTTAAAATCTTTAAAATATTTTGGAATTTTTTTAAACGAAAATTATTTATTCGCGTGAGAAATTTTACGTAAAAGGTTTTTTTTTCTCTACGGTGCCAATTTTTCCTTTCTTTTTTCTTTCTTTCTTTTTTTCTCTCTTTCTTTTCCAGTTTTCGTGTAAGAGTAGTATATTTTATCGAATTATTATTATTATTATTATTATTATTATTAATATCATTATAATTAATTTTAATTTTTGCCATCAATGAAAAAAAAAAAAAAAAAAAAAAGGATTTAAGGTCGTAAAAGTGAAATGTATTTAATATTCAATTTGGCTAATTGATTAATTTCAATTTTCGATATTAAAATCTTTG